TTGCTCTGAAATTTGGGGTTGGGCTCTTCTTTAGGAGCAACAACCACATCATGCAGTGTTATGCTTTCTTAAAGAGATTATCAGTGTTTTATCGGTAGCATGTCATTGCTGTGGTGTTGCTTGCATCCTTGCAAGTTGACGTAATATCTGTCTCAGATGACATTAATTTTTCCTAACAGTATGTTGTCATAATGATATGACAGAGTTTGTAGCTCTGTTTGTGTCAGATTTTTAACTCTGAGGCTACGTTCAGACAGCAGGTAAAAGTGGCTCAAATCTGATTTTCTCACCAAATGCGACATTAGTCTGAACAGACGCGCATAAGCAAAAGAACAAGGCTTCATGTTGCTTCATGTGGCTCATCCAGAGGTAAACAATTATGACTATGAACGAACGCCAGTCGCTCCCAGAGCTTTCAGTTTCATCTTCGCCATCATGAAGCTTCATCGACTGACAGCTGGGCTCATCACTCAGAATGTGTTCGAGCTCTCTGTAAAAAGCCATGTTATTCAGACACGGTCACTTCTTTGGTTCGCGTCTTTGGATTCTTGAAAAAAAAAATTCAGACTTTTCCTTGACGCTGCAAACTCGTTCTCCTACGGCCGCATTCGGTAATTTCTTTCAAAATCTCTTTGAACACGGAGTGGTTGCAAAAGTGCCTTCTAATTTTTGGGTACAGAAACATCAGCCTAAATGTTTATGAGGTCTCAGCATCCCGAAATGATGATGAATGTGGAGTCGGATTGTCAGAAAAGACGCATGTATTCCAATGTGGCTGTTCAGACTGAGTCACTTTGCCGCATATTGGATACGTATTGGATTTCAGTACCACATATGAAAGGGTCTCAAATCAGAATTGAAAATGTGTTTTTTGCTGTTCACATTGACACACAGACACACATCTGTGTCACATATGAAGAAACAGATCAGATTTGGGCCACTTTTACCTGCTGTGTAAACATAGCCTTTGTTTGTCAAGCGTTATTTACCTAATGCAGCCAAAATCCTAGCTTTACTGCTTAAACAGGAATTTGAACACAGATCTCCAGCAAACACAGCCATTACATTTCTCACAAATGGTCATTGCTGTGAAACTGAGGGTAGAACTCCATAACAGCACCACAGAGCCTGGCATAAGTCCCTGTTTTTTTGGTTAAGCAATTTGTTAAAACCCATTACTGCCATTTGTTTGTTGTTAAAAATAACCACATCGTGCAAGATGATGCTTTCCAAAAGAGATTATCAGTGTTTAATCAGTAGGATTTCCCCCACTGCTGTGATGCGTGCATCTGTGTCAAGTTGGAGTTACTGGAGTGGAATCTGCTCAGGTGGTCAGTATTGTACCAGAAGGGGCACTCAAGTGCTGAAGCTAGTGCGAGCCAAGCTGACCCACAAACTCTTTTTCTGGGGTGAAACTGAGCTGAGCCTCATTAGAACTTGAAGAATGGCCATGTGAAATACAAACTTAATACACACCAGTGCAAGGCGACCTGTGCTCGAGCCCCTTTGGCCTCTACGTCTGCCTGTGCCTGGCTACACTGAAGTTGAATGGCAGCTAGCAACAAAGACTAAATAACTAACTGCAAACCATCAAACATACACCTGATTCTTCTACAAAGACATAGTGATACATTTTAGATGATGGTATGTTTTTGTTTGTTGACCTCATCTCTTGCAGGAGAGAAGCAAATTTTTTAATCCTCTAAATATTGATCATAACTACCGTCGACCCATAACTAACATCATCTATCACCCACCCCCTCGCTGTGCTATGTTTAAGCAGTTAGTCTTATCTTTCCTCCTGAGAGAATGCAGTGTGGCAGATAAATGACAAGCAGTTATTAGTTTCACCGGTTGGTCAGGTTCCCCATTGCTTATAGGGATTAGCTGACTGGCAAATATCGTTCCGGCTTTATTGAAGGCAATAAATTTTCTACCATACTGCTTGGGCGTGCTACTGACTCTGAGTTTTTCTTTACTCTGGGTACTTTCCATTAAGAATGTCCTCAGATGGTAGATCAAATTCAGTGTCACCCTCTGTAACCTACTGCAATTGGTTTAACTTAGCATCCTTTCACTCACTGGACTCCCACATACTCCTAATTCTTCATGCACACCTCCACAAATGCATATACACATAGGCCTACACACTCTCTCTCTCTCTCTCTCTCTCTCTCTCTCTCTCACTCTCTCTCTCTGTCTCTCTCTCACTCTCTCTCACTCATGCACACTTACTTGCACATAAGCACACACTCGCACGCACACGTATATATACAAACACGCACATGCCTCATACTCCTACTCACACAGACAGCATGTTATATCATCCCTAATCCCCAGTGCACGTCTTTATCTGTGTACACAGTGAATAAAAACATGTACAAAGGGCCAGTTTAAGGTTTCTGATTTGTGCCTTCAGTAGCTGTGCTTGCCTCAGAGCAGTACATCATGTTTTCAGCTCCAGTGCATTAGAAACACATCTTGAAGGATAAATGGTGATTTTTTTTTCTCTTTTGCTAAACAAGGAACATCTTAGGTCATGATTCAGTATCTTGAGTTTTGTGATGTCCTTGCTTTGATATCAGGACCATTCTACTGAATTAGTTTGAACTGTTTCCCAAAGTAGAAACTGTTTAAAACAAAACAAAAAAAACAAAAACAAACAACAATTAAGCTTTTACAAGGGTCATGTTACAGTCAGTTTAAACCCAAGGCATTAATTGTAACAGTATTAAGCTAAATATAAACAAAATCATCATTTATAGGATTGGGAGGTGGCTGTCCCAAACACGAGGTGGCTCCCAAATTTGTGACAAAATTTTTTTTAATTTATCATCAGTTTAATTTTTAAGTAAAAAAAGCTGTATTAAAAATGCTGTCTCTCGTTTTTAGAAACTAAGACCCCTCATGGCCACATGATGGGTGGTTAAATTCCCTTGTTTTAAAGTAAAGATGTCCCAAAAGTCAGAAAATCAAACAACTGTTTAAGCTGTGTTTTTCATTTACGCTCAAAATTAACTGAAATTGTCACATTCAGTAGTTTGGTAAAATTTACTTTTGGTAACGTGTCAGTAGTGGCTTGATTGAACATTCCATTTCATCACTACTAAAACAATAATTTGTTTTAATAAAAATAAGCATAATTAAAGTATAGGATCACTCAAAGCAGAAGGGTTTTAGTCTTAAGTCCAAGTCGGTCAAAAATCTGAAATGTGTTTTTAATTCTGACGTTGAACCGCTTCTATAGAATGGGGCATAAACAACTCAAGATTCAGTATACATGATGCCTACATAAGCTCTTAATGACAACTGATGTAGACCTGCAGAAACATTTATAAACACTTATTACAACAAGCATCATTTGTCATGAAGGTTGCATTTTTAACTTTGAGCTTAACAAAACAAATAAAACTGAGCATTTTCTGTGGTGCTTAGGTAGAATGAGATTCATTTGACCATTTAGAAGGTTAAATCTATGTCACATCATCAGCATTATGTTAGTTGTCATATACACTAAGCTATAAAGTCAGTTGTTATAACCTGCTACATCATTTTACCCAAGGAAACGTCATAACAAAACCCAATGCCACTATGGCATCAAAGCTGACAAAAGCAGCCTTTTTAGCATTTGACGCTTATTGGAATAAGCCTTTATTAATGTTTAGGGTAATGTCAGTTGTCATAACAAGCCTATATAATTGCCATATAGCCTTATGAATGCTGCACTACAGTAAATTGTTACCAAACAATCAAATCAAACCACAAAAGACAAAAAACTAAAACAACCATAAATTGTAGTAAACACTGCAATATACGAACAATAAAACAAATTATCTTGCAGATAGAAATAATTTGATGTTTTTCGCTCTGGAGCTCTGAAATTTCTCACTGTAGGTCACAGCTTTTCAGCACTAAAACTCAGATATACGACCTCAGATAACACAAACCTGACTTTAGAAACTTCGCTTTGAACATCTGAGGCTTTCAGAGCTCGTCCTCTGTTGTGCCACAAGCTTTCCTCAAGAGGAAGCCCCAGTTGAATGGATTTGAGTTCTGTGTCACACCCTAAGCACTTTACCCTGAGGGTGACTGAACATTTCTTTGGTTTCTGTTCCTCTTGTCCTTACAGCGTCTGGCATTTACAGGCTCCATACTCTCAAATGACTGTAGGTGATGGAGGAGCATGAGCAAAATGCAAGTCGACCATTTTTTCAGGCCAATCAATTTGGGGTCAGCTGAGGTCTCACAAAATGAGATATACTGTCCTTCATTTCTCCAGTGTGGTGCACACAACAAATCAAAGTTTCTCCACCCAGTTATGCTTTGAAGTTGTACTAAATCCAGATGTCATTGTGACTCTCATGAATTTCATGATGACTGGGTTTGTGAAGATTACTCTGTCGTCCCATAAGCTGGATTCCCTTGTCCTACAGCTGAACTGAGGTCAACAGGAAGTCTCATCAAATCTCTCTAGATGTGTACCCTTTAGCTGCTGTCCATAAGAGTTAGAAACATTGCTTCAAAATATATTTAGCACTGTTTATGTTCTGGTAACACAATCTGATGTTCACAATCTTAAGAACATTCTGTTCTTTTTTGCATTACTGTTCATTTAATCTAAAGCGTTCTTATTGAAATGAGTTGTTTCATCTGATGAAAGTCGTTCTACACTCTTTTTTTTCTTACAAATTTAAACATATCTATAATCTGGTTATTGTGTGCTTTTTGTAACTATAACGGATTACAGTTTGGTATTTTAAGCTGTAATCCTGTTGGATGTTTCCTGTTACTCTCAAACCTTAGTGAGTGCTGGACCTAAAGAAAAATATCTGGGCTTCACCTAAACTTGTGAAAGAAAAAATATTTGTTTTAAAATGACTTGGCGAAAGTGTTCTCTAATAAACGAAATTGCTTTTTTTCACACTTGCGGCAGTGCTTCTCCCTGTTGAATAAAATTGAAATACAGGAGAGAGGTCTAATAACGTTATGTCTCTTCACAGAAACCTTGGGAAGTCTGGACTGAGGGTATCATGCCTTGGGTTAGGTGAGTGCTCTTTGACAACTTTTAATAAGGCCATGAAAGCTATCATAGTGAACAAGGAGGACATGGTCAAAGCAAAAAAAAAGAAAAAAACAAATCATCCTTTTTTCTAAGAAATGCTGAAGACCTGATGATGCTAGTGTAATCTTTTCGCTTGCACTGTTTTGTTCCCTTCAGCGTTAAGCTCATCCCTGTTAGATTAGGCCTTTCAGAAAAATCTCTTCATCAAGAAAAGAATAGTAATCATGTAAAGCGCATTAGCTTTGTACGAAGCAGGGAGTGATTCCAGCTCTTTTCTGCAGGAACATGGGTGACGTTTGGCGGTCAGATCACAGACGAGGTAAGACCTCTCGTAAACAATCCTATTTTAAGGTGTTTTTGACTAGAGAGTACTACCTAACTCTGATAAAAAAAAAGCCTTCATAGAACATGTTCCAACAACTCTAATAGCTAAATACCCTCTTAAATTAAGTATATATGTTTGGCCAACTCATAAAGTGAACTCACGTGGAGGTAGAAGGTAGTATGGCGCAATCTACATGGAAAGTGCTGAATAATTAAAGGCAGTGACGCACCTTAAATGCTGCTATCCCCCCGATCCCCTCCTCTCCTCTCTTCCCCTCTAACAGATGGCCGAACAGCTGATGACTCTGGCTTATGAGAACGGGATCAATCTGTTCGACACAGCCGAGGTCTACGCTGCAGGAAAGTGAGTGAGCCAAAGTTGACATACAGCACACCTCTGCACGCCGAATATATCCACATTGCCATACACTAGAACATATGCCAGTGTTCTAGTCCAGCCCCACTAGTTACATAAACAGAATGGCTCCAGGAGAAATGAGATACAACTTGATATATACTGGCAATTGAAAGTGCACCTTGTACACTGATATTTGCCAACTGTTTTAATGGAAATTCAGGTGACAGAACGGCCAGCACACCAGATTTAAATTCCCTGCGTTCCAGGGGTGGGGGGCTATAAAAATGGTGGTGTAAAAATATATACTTTATAAAACACAGAGAAAATAATTTTGGTGAGTGGCTGGCAAGAAAAGCCACATCACTGGCTTTCAGCAATCAGTTTGCCTTTGAGCAGAGTTTATCTAGGTGGACCTGCAAATTTGCAAACCTTAGAAGAGTCAGCCAACATAAAACAAAAGGGTGAGCTGTGGCATCTTCTTTATGAAAAATACTAAACAGTGTAATGTTCCTCAGTCTATGTGTTGTCGCTTATTACTCACAGTGGAAAAAACAAACTAGTTAACCAGTAAATGTTAACTGTTTACTGAACTGTACATTCCCTCCAAAACTACCTGAAATTAGGACCACACAGACTTGCCTGACTTTAGCGCCACTAAAACTAAAAGTAACTAAAAGTTTAAACTAAAAGATTGATTGAGTGCTAAACATGAAGTTCAGCGCAAGGCTAAAGATTCGTAGTTTGTGTCGAAGTGCTAGCTAAGAAATGTAGGCCCAGGCATCCCATTCATTTTGACAACATTGAGTGGAGTCCCTCAAGCTTCAGTTTTAGGGCATTTGCTTTTCTGTTTGTACATGCTACCTCTAGGTGATGTCATTAGGAAACATAGTATACATTTTCATAGCCATGCTGATGACACCCAGTTATACATTTCCATTCCTTCTGATGATCAAGACAGACTGACCAGCTGTGTGTCAGATATTTAAAAGTGGATGTCGCAAAATTTTCTACAATTAATTCACCAAATAAACAAAATACTGACTGTTGGTACAGAAACTCAGAGAAAAATGCTTTATGAGAAACTTGGTTCTTTAGCTTCGTATACAAACCTGAAGTACGAAACCTGGGTGTGATCTTCAACTCTGAGCTCTGTTTTATCTCGCATGAAAACGCCACTAAAGCAGCTTTTTATCATTTGAGAAACGCCACTAAAGTTCGGCCTTTTCTATCTCAGAGCGACACAGAGAAACTTGTTCATGCATTTGTTACAGCAGAGTTGATCACTATAATAATCTTCTTACTGAGCTTCCTAAGAAAAAAGTACATCCCTTACAACTTGTACAAAATGCATCAGCATCCTAACAAAAAACTAAGCAGAGAGATCAGATCACTCCCATTTTAAAAGAACTGCACTGGCTGTCTGTATCGTTTAGGATAGATTTTTAAGTTCTGCTACTAGTTTTTAAGGCTCTAAATGACCTTAAAGCACTGCTTACATCACTGAGTGTTTGTCTGTTTATGTTCCAGCACGTGATTATTATTATTAAGAGAGTTGTTTTCTAATTTCTGTAATGTGTATACTGATGTGTATGGGGCGGGAGGGAGGGAAAGAGGGGTCACAAAATATTTTTATCCTTAAAAAGGGGACACACTCTGAAAAAGATTAAGAACCACTGTTCTAGATCATTGAAAATCTTTATGAAAGTGTGACAGAGCACTTCAGTGCTAAAAGATTCTGACAAAATTAAAAGAACACCACTTCAGTTTTTTTTATTTTGTTTGTGTCTTTTGTTTGTTTTGTTTTGTTTGGTTAAGCAGAAGAAATGTAACATTTCTTAATAGCATTATTTTAGCAAGTTTAATTTCCTTGATGAACATGATGAATTGATACATTAGCATAGTCTAATCATGAGCTGTAGCTGCTGGCTGTAAGCTGATTGTTTTGATCAGTTCATTGTTAACTAAATATTTGCAGAACGTTAGCTGACCACTAGTTCATATTGGCTCCTATCGATGTAGTTTGCATGACCAGGCAATTTAGTTGAACTTGCCTCCTACCTACGGTTCTCAGTGCGCATTGCCTGGTGGGTGAGATGCCAAATGATTTATTTGCTGGTGGTGTGCGCAACACAGTAGAGGGTGTGCTTCACCTCTTGGTTTGGGTCAAAGGTTGTATATGAGCCTCTCATGGGGAGATGCAGTTAAAAACGGCCAGCTGTGGATTAAGTCAAGACACAGCAGTGAAATACCAGATAAATGTCCCTTTCACGTGTGAGGGGGTGTACGGAAAATGAAGATTAAAGGTCAAAAGACTGATAAACTGGAGCTCTCATATGGAGATTTTGACCATAATGCTCTAGAATACCCATTATAAACGTAGGACAACGCATTTTAGTGAGGCTTAATCTCTGCCAGCCTTTGTTTTGAGCAGGATGAAGCACAATAATCTGAGAGATTATCGTCCTTCTACAGTACCTAAGATTACACAACTTAGTCATCACCATTCCTCACTGCGCCATGAATTTGTTCCAGCAATATGCTGAGTGCTGGGAGAGATGATAGGAAGGAATTAGAAAACAAACACGAAGCAGGGACCTAAAAATAAAATGCATGACCATTTTTGAAGGCAGTTGACAAACACTTAATTTCTAGTTTTTGCCAATACCAAATGTCAGTACTAGCAGTGTTTACACTTTATTAGTTGTGTTAAAACCTTAATCAAGAATCAGCTGGCTGACAACATTTTGTACTGTAGCATCATGAGTTTTGTGAAGTTTTCATGAGGCTCCAGAATGGTAGAACAATCAAAAATGGGCCCACTTGTCAGAAGATCATTAATTCGATCCCTGGCGATGCCGCAGCCACCCGCCATCTCCTCCCATCACTTAGCATCTATTTAGCTAACATAACAGCATTGGTAGTTAGCAGTCTCCTTTAATTGTCTTGAACGGTCAAAGACGTTGCATTATCAAGAGTTTAGTGGCTGGCTTCGTATGTCTCAGCGGAAGCGTTTGCTAACCTTCACCTAGCTTGGGAGCATTGTGTGGTGGGGGAGACCTGAAGACCTAAATTAGGGTAAAAAATTGGGTGAAATTTCACATCACCAAGCCTTAGTTGACTATGATGTATAACACAACAACATATATTTTTTTAATAATTTCTTAGTTATACTATTATAAAAATGAGCAATGTTCAGTTCATAATTCAAGCAAAAACAGATAACGGAACCTAAACATTTGCCATGACAAGATAAGACCCCTTTTTAAATATACCATCGCTCAGACTCTCCAGATTGTAGCTAAAAAAATCAACAACAATTTTAAAAACAAGTTATCCTAGTTAGTTATTGTAGCCTTAACCAAAAATTAATGGGTAAGTCAGCCCACTCCTGTGGAGATACGCACATGCATAGTAAACGAAGCAACCTGAAAATTTTTGTGCATTATTTGAGCCAAATGCTACAGACTTCTTTAAAATGATTTTTGCCAGATTCTACCAGCAATTTCAAACGTTTGTGTGGGTCTCTCCTTATTCAAGGAGAAAAGCACCTGATCTTGTATGAATGGAAATAACACAATAGAGGAGTATAGTTTTTCATGGTAACATTTCTCAATATCAGATAGAAATTGTGAACAATGTCTGCTGGTAGATGTTTGCAACGTGGGTGGCTCATTAAAAATTGCTTGGCAGATGGTCGTGGTAGACCAGTGTTCAAATTGCTGGCTTAAACTAGTAGATTACTGGCTGTTAAAGACCATATAAGTTATTGATAAAAAATTCCATTTGCCTGCCATGAAGAGGTGTGTGTATATATATATATATATATATATATATATATATATATATATATATATATATATATATATATATACTGATTAGGCATAACACTATGACCACCTCATTTCTACGCTCATTTTATCAGCTCCACTTACTATATAGGTGCACTTAGTGTAGTTCTACAATTACTAGAGTTACAATTAAAGACTGTAGTCCATCTGTTTCTCTACATACTTTGTTAGCCCCCTTTTACCCTGTTCAACACACACTAACACACCACCACCACGTCAGTGTTACTGCAGTGCTGAGAATGATCCACCACCCAAATAGTACCTGCTCTGTGAGGGTCCATGGGGGTCCTGACCACTGAAGAACAGGGTAAAAGGGGGCTAACAAAGTATGCAGAGAAACAGATGGACTACAGTCTGTAAATGTAGAACTACAAAGTGCACCTATATAGTAAGTGGAGCTGATAAAATGGACAATGAGTGTAGAAACAAGGAGGTGGTCATAATGTTATGCTTGATCGGTGTATATATATATATATATATATAAATAAATAAAATGTAATGTCTGAAATGTGTGAAATAAAATGTAAACTCAGTCGTTAATGAAGCTCATAACTTATTAGACAACATCATTATACATTTTGTAAGTTCAAGTGGGATGTCCTCCAATATAGTTACCTAAGATGTCACGAGATGTTACCATCCTTACCCCAGGAAGCAGTGACCTCACAAATTCAGACTGAGAGAGTGTTAACATGAGAAATCCACTGTATGACAGCACCGCCGCTGCGAATCGTTCGAGTTGCCTGATCCCCGCCTCTGTTCCCTGCAGCACTGTAGATGTTGCTCCCATATGAGGACACTAAGCACAGCTCAGCAGAATTCAGTAGGTCTTCTAAGCGCTAATATGGCTGAATGAGAAGAACAGCCTGACACATGATGCTTCATTAATAAACTGCGCAAATGAAGGATGGAGAGGAATGGCGAGCGTGCGCTTTGCTATTATCGCAGTGCTAAATGACTTGGTGTTTGGTATAATTTGAGGGAGATTGTGGGGCGGTTTGCTCGTTGGATTTGCCATTTGGAATGTGTGCTGCCTCTAAATCTGTTGAATGTCATGGTTGTGTGCACGGGCCTGTTGCAAAGCAGGGCAAACACAACCTGGAGTAAATATTCACTGTAGCCCGGCAGGGGACACAGAATACACAGATGCACACACGCATAAACACACACACACTCACACACACACACACAGAAAAGCTCGCAGATAGACATGGCCTGCCATGCGAAGCACGGAGACGCATCGGTTCCCATAACCTCTCTCTCTCCTTCTCACATAAGCAAACAAAAACACAGGCTGCGCCGCCCACTCACCCGTCTGCCTCTATCTCCATCTCTCTTACACAACACACACACTTGTAGAGATTATAATGGACACTCACTCAGAGCTGGTCACACTCAAATAGAGTTTAATGATATTGTGGCATATGTCGATGTGCGTTAAGTCTAAATAAAGTCTTCTTAAAGAAACATGTAAGTTCTTTCTGCAAAAAACTTTATTTAAATTTCCCCTTACCCCAAATGGAGTCGATCAGCCAAATCATGTTTGGTGTTTACTAGTTTACTTCTTTAGTTTTGCACTGGAGCTGTAAGGATAATGTAGCTAACAGGTAACAGAAGCTAATACCCCACCAAATTAGTACCACACTAGGCAAATTACTTTGGCAAATTCTTTTAACCAATTACCATCCATTATTATTTGCAGATTAATCGTTAACCAACAAACCTAAAATAAAGGACTGAGATCTGGTTGGCTGAGCCCTGTCCATACACAGGCCTATGAGCGCATACATCAAGTGAGATATTAAACCGAGATATTAAAGTGTTCTTTGTTGTAATTGTGGAACAGAGAATTGATAGTGGGGCCAGGCCTAAACATGCATATGAAGTAAACAGTCTGAAACCATATCAAACATTTATTAAGCCTACATAAGATCCCAGTTTTGTTTAAACCAAAGAGCTGTTGTTCATGACAATATGACCAAAAACTTTGTTGCTGAAATGACTGGAGTATACAGTCATGAGCTACTGAACATTTTATTTCAGTAGCTCATGTATTGGCTAATCAACTGCATTTGGAGTAAGTAATAGTGTGTACCATTTGATTAGATGTGTGTGTGTGTGTGTGTGTATATATATATATATATATATATATATATATATATATATATATATATATATACATATGTATGTATGTATGTATGTGTGTGTATATATATATATATATATATAATGTTATGCCTAATCGGTACATATATATATATATGTACCGATTAGGCATAACATTATGACCACCTCATTTCTACGCTCATTTTATCAGCTCCACTTACTATATAGGTGCACTTAGTGTAGTTCTACAAGTAATAGTGTGTACCATTTGATTTTTGTTGAACTTTTCCTTTAATTACTTTTTTTCACACGTTGTGTCATATTGAATATTCAGAAATACATTTAGCAAGCGTTCTGTTCAGACCTCAGTTTAAAACCCGGCTGATTGGCTGCTCTGAAAGTACATGTCTCTGAGCATGGCTGAAGAGTGAAAAACCAGAACATTTCAAAAAAGAAGACCCAAGGGTCGAGCTAATTGGATAACTGCTATCAGGCGCTGTGCTCCCTTACTCCTCCACCTATCAGCCTACTGTACCACACACAAACCGGAGCAAGGAAATGAGATATGAGGGGGATGTTCAGAGCAGCAAGATGGACATTTTGGGAGAAAGAAGCGGGCTGGTGAGGCAGCGCAAAGGTCACACTATGGCAGGACAGCTCATTCCATTTGACGTGCGTGGAGCCCAGTGAGCTCCCACTGGCGGAGCGGAATGCAGACCTGATCATACCTACACTGGGGCCCAATTAGCAGCTACAGCATCGCTAATGGCTGCCATAAAGACTTGCAGCCACCAAGCTGTCAGTGCCGCTCAGCTGAGCCTGCAGCAAAGAGACGGGAGAATCTTCCAAAGGAAAAAGAAGAGTGTGATCTCAACACTTAGATCATTTCTGGCTAATTGTTAACATGTTCTGCATTGATGTTCATGTAAACCTTTGCTTGATTTCAATGTTGAGGATGTGATCGTTACAGGAATTTAAAAGAAGAGTTTGATGAAAAACTGTTCCTTGATCTAAATGTAGTCAATCGGCCAAGATGTTAGGTGTAGGCCTGTGTCCGGTAACGATTATCTGCGTTGCTGTGGTAACAGCAACTAGTGACGATATTAAACGTGTGCCGTGGCAGCAGGCAGATATCATGCCTGAATAAAAAGCCATCTATGTTGTGGTGTATGTTTTAGGATAGCTTCTGGTTTCAGACATCAGACTTCATGGCTTTGAGTCTTAGGAAAATCTTTGTCATGTTATAGCTCTTGTACATTTAGACATCAGGCGAAACGACCCTGGACAAAATGAAATTAGGCAAAGCTAAAAGGCTACAGATGACTCAGATGGAAAAGTTTGTGTGACATTTGCAAGTTTGTTCTGTCTCACTAGATTAACTACAGTTTTGTGGCCAAATTAATAATGAAAATTATAGCACAAGCACAAATTTACTGAATTGCATTATTATAATGTTCTTTTGTTTGACAAAGATTTAGCTTGAACTCACATCCAGAAGGAAACATGTATACACTTAGTGGAAATAAAAGGTAAAACAAAGACCAGAAAATATACACTTATATACAGGCAAGTTTTTTTTATTTAGTTCTGTTTTACCTCACTGAAGTGAACAAAGAATAAACTTACCAAAGTTGGGTTTGTTTGTTTTTTTGTTTTTTTTGAGTAATAATTTGTATAAAACACAGTTTATCAAATGTCAATATTTAGCATAACACGTCTTTAAAGTGAAACAGTCAAGGGTTTTTTTGCTTCATGTGCTGCAGGTTAAAAAAAGATATAGTTTTTTTTTTGCTGTCAAAGCCATTTTAGAGAACAAAGCAGGGAAAAACCATACCAATGACATTATGGGCATGTTTGAAATAGAGCAAGACCCATCACCCAAAAACCAACACAGCTGCATGACATGCACTACCAATCACCAGCTCAACCTCGTCTAACCCACAGACAAAAACGACCTATCCAAATGGGAGTAACTAGCCCCAGAGTTGGTAGAGACACAATGTGGAACGTTTGATTCTGGAACTACCTTGAAACCATATTTAACCAAATTTCCCTGAGGAGGTGACAGAAGAAAGACAGTGGCGAGCTGGGCTGCAGCATGAAAGGAAAACACTTATCTGTGAGATCAGCTCATGAATGCTAAATGAATTTACCCCAGTCTTTTAAGTAGCTTTACTGAGCTGAGACAAGTGAGCTCAGTCTGGTCCAGTCTGGATAGTATGTTCCAAAAGTATTTTGAACACGTTTATTATCTCTGTCACAGTCCTTCATCTGTGTGTGATAAAAACTGACTTTCCTTTCCTGCACATTATTAACAACATGAGTCGGCAAACTGATTGACTCAGAGTGAATAAGTTCATTAATTTCATACAAAATTCAGCTCCTCACCAAAAGTAGCGATGGTAAAACGTGTGGTAGGTGAGGGGGCATGGGCATGTTGTGCCATGCCCAAATATAGCCATGCCCCCACTAAGCTGAAACAGATTAGAGGAACCCTGGGAGATGTAGGAATCAAACTTTTATAGGTTCCAGAATAGGACTGTTCAATATCTCTATAACTACACTGCAAAATGTCATGATTTTTGTTCTGAATGTTTATTTTGAGGGCTAAAAATTGAGTAAGACTGTTTGAGAGCATGACTTTAAATATTCCAGTAGAATTGTGGCTCAAGTTTCATGGTAATATCTTAATGTGGGGCCCGTAGCAATTCCCACCTCTACTGCTGTCTTGACCACATTCAGCATTTAAAAGGAAAAAAGATTTTAGCTACATATTTTAGTCAGATTTAATAGATAACTATGTCATAAAAATTGAGGGAAGTAAATTAGTTTTCTTGTCCAGCTGTCACTTTAAAGTAGCTGTTGACACTGACAGGACCTGAGAGGTTGTGATGACTATTACTGAGACATTTCAAGGTTCAACACTAAAACAACCTCTTGGTGTACTACTTGTGTTTCTTTGTTTAGTTTTTTGGTAGGTTCTGGTAACCAAGCCGAGTCTGATAACTATCTGTCTCTCTCTGTTGCAGGGCTGAGGTGGTGCTGGGCAATATAATAAAGAAGAAGGGATGGAGGTACGCTCATGAAGAAGTGCACCTTTTAATTTCCGCTCAGTCATCTCTCTATCTTTGCCTGATAACCTGGCCCAGTAGAAAGGCTGTCAGAGGAGAACAATACAGCATGTGGCACTGTGTACAGCAGGCAGGCAGAGATATGAAATATTAATGGCAGGAGCAGTGCCATCACTGGGTCTCGTAGCTTTCTGAATTATGGATCAGATACATGTCTGTAGCCCTCAGTTTGTTACCAGTTAGTCTGTTAGTATGTTTGTCTGCTGGAACTCCTTTTCTGCAGTTCAGAGGTGCCTCTGCTTGCTTATTAGAAATCCTGGTCTGGAAATTAAGCTGTTAATGCTGAGTATGGGTGCTCAGAGTGGCTGGGCTTGAATGATAAGGCAGAGAGTAACTGAGCTCTACCTAGGAGATGATCAAGAAAGTGTGTGTGTGTGAGTGTGTCTGTGTGTGTTTTGTAATGTGTTGTGTGCATCAGTGCTCAACTAGCGGCCCTGCAGCTTAGTCATCTTGCCAGTCAAAGTGCATCAGTATCAGGCCACACAACAGTCACCTCCAGAGAGCATGAGCCTATTCCAGTCCCCCTGTGGTTGTGTGTGTGTTCTTTTGAAATTAAGCCACGCATTTATTAGCATTTGCCTGCGACAGTTTAATCCTTTTCTGGATTTTTTGTCTCTCAGCTACTGTTTTCTGCAACCTTTAATGAAAAATTGTGACCTATTTTGACATGATGCTGCTTCTTTTATTTTTTGCAGGCGCTCCAGTTTAGTGATCACTACAAAAATCTTTTGGGGTGGAAAGTATGTTGACATCTATTATTGTGCTTATTTTGTTGTTTGAAGGATTTCATAATGACTCAGCAAAATCTGCTAAAAACCTTAATTTACTTAGCTTCTGGTCAGAACGGCCATTATAAGCCATTACTCATTTTTCAGTGTCGGGACAAAAAAGCAGACAACACAGAAAATGAAGTATCAGATTTTCTAGAGTTCACCCTTTGTCTTTTTATTACAGCTTCTATTCTTTTTGAGAGACTTGCTTTCAGTCTTTCAAAGAATTTTTTTAAGTCTTAGGGGCTGGTTGCATTTTCTGCGTCTCTATCCAAGTAATCCCAGACACATTAAGGCCCAGTCCCATTTCTTATTTTTACCCCTACTCCTTGTTTTCGAGTGTCTCCTTGCCCCTTGGAACTGAGTTACAAAGGGTAGTGGTGGAAATCTTCCCTATGAAATGGGACCCTCAAAAAAAAAGAGCATCACTTCATTAACAGGCTACAAGCGGTGCTCTGTGGGCAACACTGCCAGTCTGCAGTGATAGCAAAGGAGGGTAACGTTCAGCTCCTCACTGCTGGGCTTTAGTTACATTTAGGGGATCATATGCCTTCAAAGAGGGACAATTATTTAAGATAGTACAGTGGTTATCATCATTTTTAACAGAGAAAATACTCACATTTGTGGGTTTCTTTGGTCACTTGCGCCGACAACTTGCCAGTTTTTTTTTTGTCTCATAACACTCTGTTTGGAGTGTGTCTCTGAAAAAACTCTGTTTGGAGGGCCGTGTAGCCCTAACACTTTGCTCTACTCCTCTATCTCAACAAAAATCAGGACACCCTACCCCTAGGCGTAAATGGCAAAACAGAGGGCTAAGTGGTAGGGGCGAGGGGTGAAATGGGATTGGGCCTAAGTGTTGTTGAGGTCTGGACTTTGGGATGGTCAGTTGATTGTTCTGAGAACACCAGCAGCTTCTTTGTTTGATTTGCAATTTTATTTTTTTATTTTTTTGACGATTTTCCCATAGCGCCGAGTCGTCTTCACAGTGGAAGGATGGACAGAAACACCTGTTTTCAGATATGAAACAGCTTGATTTTCTCCTCTCTCTCTCAAAAATGAAAGCTTTAAGTGCTGTTTATCTGATAGGGGCAGTTTTTGTGGTCTACCAGGCCTTGCGTGTTTGTTAGGAGTCCCATTCACTCTGTATTTTTACAGTTTTTGAAGTCCAGTTTTGGAAGCTCCTGTTTTTTCTCTTTTCCTTTGGACTTTCCCCTTTTAATGCAAGTGGATTATCTTACATCTCATCTCCTCAGATATGTTTCCTACAAAATCAATGACTTGTATTTAATGGCCATTTTGACTGGAAATTCAAAACCTTGAGTGAAAGTATAATTTTGCGTAAAAATTGTTTGTTTAATTAGTCCAATTTGAGGGTGTAGTGAGATAATTTAAGATAATTGTAACAGAATTATAACAGTGATTGTTGAATGGCTTTTCATTTCCATGTTGTCCATATATATACAGTAATATAACTTAATGCTGTTACCATTCACCAGGGCAGAGACTGAAAGAGGATTGTCTAGAAAGCACATTATAGAAGGTAAGTCTAAATCAAACATACAACACTGTGTTCATACAACAAATAATACTGGTATAATGCTGAAGGTGCATATAGCAAGAGTTAATGATTAATGGGCCTTGCTCTCAGGAGAACATGGCCATCTTGGAGGTTAAGGTTACTTTGAGTAGCTGAATAAACAAGCTCTTTATGGTCCTGGTATCTGAGGTTTACTGTAATGAAACTTCTTTGGGTGCTCAGTTAAGATCGGTGTCTGTAATTTGGTAATATATGTCTTGAACGGTGTGATTAAATGTATTAATTGAGTTTGTAAAACTCTTGTGTAGGTTTAAAAGCTTCACTGGAGAGATTGCAATTAGAATACGTGGACGTGGTGTTTGCGAACAGACCAGACCCAAACACGCCTATGGAAGGTGAGGAATTACAAGAAGTGGATTTGTTTCTTATGCAGTTTCTGTAAATTATTGAAAATGATACATTTGTTAAACACTTTCACAGCATTGCAATTCATGGTAGCCCAGTAGCATCCTGCTTTACAGCCCCAGATATCTCCAAATTAAAAGGGTTGATCTTAGAGCAGCGTTTCTCCAAAGAACGTTAACTATGTGCTTCGTAGTCAAAATAATCTAAAATATATGTTTTTCCATCTATGTCATCGTATTTAGTTGTGTTCACTTTTACAACAGGCGTATTACAAAGTGTCTTTTTAGAAACGTTGGTCCAAACCTCTAATGAGTGGCAAGAAAAACTCCCTAAAAGCATGAGGCAGGAACAGCAGGAGGGACCAAGACTCTAAAGGGGAACCCATCCTTCCTTGGGCCGCGCCAGATAGTGCAGTAAGAATACAAGTAGGACAAGATAGGAGGGTAGAATAAACAGTGATCCTCAGGTCATACAGTGGAAAGATCAATGAAATAAGCCAATGATCAATGTTAAAAATCTATCAGAAATCTGATGGAAGAAAGATCCACTGATTGTGTTAGACCAGGGCTGTCCAAAAGAAAGCTGAATTTTCAGACTGCATCCTACGTACTTTACATAGAAACATCACAAGCACAGGCTCAAAAAGAAGGTTTATTTCCACGTTTTGGTCTCAAATGCAAAAATCAACATTATACTAATGAAGTTATGATGACAATAGTAGATAATTCACTGACATCCTTGACAGACACGTCCTTCACCAAGTTTTGACTGAATTCTCTTTGAATACTTTTCAGGGCTCACAGAATCACCAGGTAGATCTGCTTGGGGGCTCTGATACACAGCTGAATTTACCAAATGCTTTTCCACACGTTGCGTGCAATCATAGCTTTGCACAAGAGATATCTCCAAATCTGCAGAGCTTACATAGTGTAGCTTCAAGGTTATACTTTTCATAACAAAACATATGGGCTAATGTTAAAATGAATTTTTATAAAATCTATGACCTCTAACACCACACAGTCATTAATAAATGCAACGCAGATGTAACAGATATGTAGCTTCTAGGGGTGTAATGATTCACACAATTCATACTTTCATTCGATATGATAGTGATGACATTCTTGAAAATGTGCTTTGTTTTCATATTTTAATATTTCCATTTTAAGTTTATTAGAGCGTTTAATGTTACAGAAGTCCCTTTTTTGTAAAAATGCTCTAGCAAATATTACTTCTAAATCTAAATCTCATATACTAACAATGTGTGGAAATATCAGGCTTGCAGTCTAGTTAGCTGTTTTGTCTTTTTGGCTCTCTGCCCACCATAAAAATTAAATTTTGCCCTATCCAAGACAGAAAGGAGTTTCTGTCTCTGTATCTTTCTGTCATCACTTTGGTCTCATTTCTAACATTTCAGGATCAGAGTGACAACTGACATTTCTTAATGGACAGTTAGATTTTCCCTCTAATGAGTCAGTTTAGCTTTTCACGCCTTTTGGAAAAGCTCTTTAGTCGAGAAAATTCTCTTTTCTTAAATGCCAAGCCGCACTTTTGATTAGGTTCTCCATTGCAGAAACTTCATTGTGAACTTTCATGTTGAGATCCTTGTTACTGGCCTTTAGATCTGGGGAACCCCTGCCAGCCAGATTCTGATGTTACCAAGCAGTTACGAAACGAGAAACGACTGGTCTATTCCGATGAAGGCGGAAGGATTGCCTTTATTTATTCATTTCTCTAACTGCCCTTTCAGAAGTTCACCAAAGTTCACATTAACACATGACCTGACCCTGGAGCATTAATGGCCTTCTGCTCTTTGTCCTCTTCCCTGATGCTGAGCCATACATGTGACAAAGTCGTTCTCTTTTTATGACTTCTGCACTCTCCCTTGCTCTCCCTCTCCCTCTCCCTCTCCCTCTTTCACTCTCACTCTCCCTCTCCTTCTCCTCCTCAACTCTCTTCGAACTAATGAATGCACTTCATCAAGCATTGCCAAAAGGAAAACAGCTGTAAATTACTTGTCAGCCTTCAGGCCATCTTGCCCAGCCCAGAGAGCATTGTTTATTAGTGATGCCAGTGTTTTTCATTTTCATCTGTGCCATTGTTTCCCTCCCCTCCTGAGTCTCTGGCTGCTAGGAGGTGTTTATTTGATTTTCTTCAAATGTATTGATTAGAACTGCAAGCCTATTTTAGCACAATCTACCAAAGAGCTCATTAGGGGCATGCTTTTGTTTCTTAAATCAATCCAGCATTGTTTTCTTTCTTCCACTATTCTTTCCCAACACTCCTGGCAATGCATTATGCCGGCAGCGCTGTAACATGCTGCACTTTGCCTCTGGTTAATTTGGGTCAGTCTGTTCTGATTGGCAGAGACGGTGCGAGCGATGACCCACGTGATCAATCAGGGAATGGCCATGTACTGGGGCACGTCCCGCTGGAGCCCCATGGAAATAATGGTGAGTCATTTCTGCAACAAACTCACGTCCTCTCACTCCTTTGCTCAGGCGTTCTCTTCCTCATGCTTTCTCTCTCATCTCTCTCCATATTAGAAATTTTACTTTGTGATCATTAACATCGGGGTGCACTCGTAGCTTTGCTCAGGGGACGCTTTGACTTCTCCAAGAAACTTCTTAATGAAAATCACCCAAACAAATCTGCAGCCTCACCTAGAGGCACTTTGAAATGAGTTGATTAAAGGATGGTTTCCCATTACAGCTTCCAGGCAGTAAAGCGTCATATTGAATGCATCATCCACCCACAACACCATGAGTCAGACTCCACATTCTGCAGTAACTATTGCCACCTACAGAATGTTTATTGACAGGCATATAGTAGTTGTATTGATTCACTGAAGCTATAGTTTAGGTCAAACACGTTTCACTGCCTTTGCAGAACCACACACTGCTTCACGTTTTCCTAACCTCATGAGCAAGTGTGGCTTACACTTATGCTTATACAACTAATTTCCTTTTCATCATCATTTCTGTTAAAATCTTAAACATAGTCAAACATATTCAGAATTCATCTGGAAGAGCCCTCCTTGGGGTGTGCAAGGGCACTTGACTACTTAGTTAATTAGTTGTAGGTGATATAATATCAGTGCTGAAATCGCTATTTGGGCATTTGTTAAGTGTTAGCTGTAAAGAACTATTGTTGTTATTATTGTACTAGTTATATTACCCTGCATATTACATAATACATTGCTACAGTGAAACGTGAACATGTTGTTAAGAACTTGATTAAGAAGGCAGAGATAGTAAGACAGTAGATAGGCTAACTACTCCAGCTAATAATAACTGGAACCAAAAATAATGAAAAAAAACTTTGTTCTCACTTGACAATCTAACCTGGGCACATCAACAACTGATGAGAAAAATCCTCACATAGAAATCATCACTAGCTGTTGCTGCACTGGTTATCTTTAGTGTTAGCGCTAGATTATTAGCTCATCTGAAGAGCAGCTTCCATACTTAACTGAAAAAGAAGCAGCCCTCAGTACTCAGACTTATTTGACACAAAAACCCTCTGTGACCAAAATACTTCTCTATGCTGGTTTTTATGATAATACAAATAAGGCTAAATCTTACCTGCTAACTCCAGTGCAGCAGCTTAACTTGTTTGTAGTGTAAGTAGGAACCTGCAGTACTTAAAATCAGCTGAAGATACTTCCACACAGTTAACTGAATATCCACCTATTGGTCTTATGGATACTCGGATATCAAAATTTCTGCTTCTACAACAATTAAAACACTACACAGTCTTGTCCTGCTTTACCTGCTCTTGCAGCCAAACTTTAGAAAGCGATCCCCAACTACCTCCATGACTGTTCTTCATTATTTCATTATTTTATTAATATTTCATTATTTATTGCAGATTAAATGTTTTGACAGTTTGCTGATCAGTTTGTGCTATATGTAAGTGCCAGATCACTAATGAACCAAGGTGTGTGTGTGTGTATGTGTGTACATATATACCCCGATCAGGCATAACAGCCAGATAAGCTCCACTTACTATATAGGTGCACTTTGTAGTTCTACAGTTACAGACTGTAGTCCATCTGTTTCTCTGCATACTTTGTTAGCCCCCTTTTACCCTGTTCTTCAGTGGTCAGAACCCCCATGGGCCCTCACAGAACAGGTAGGGTGGTGGATCATTCTCAGCACTGCAGTAACACTGATGTGGTGGTGGTGTGTTAGTGTGTGTTGTGCTGGTGTGAGTGGATCAGACACAGCAGTGCTGCTGGAGTTTTAAACACCTCAGTGTCACTGCTGGACTGAGAATAGTCCACCAACCAAAAATATCCAGCCAACAGCGTCTTGTGGGCAGCGTCCTGTGACCACTGATGAAGGACTAGAGGATGACCAACACAAACTGTGCAGCAGCAGATGAGCTATCGTCTCTGACTTTATCTACAAGGTGGACTGACAAGGTAGGAGTGTCTAATAGAGTGGACAGTGAGTGGACACAGTGTTAAAACTCCAGCAGCACTGCTGTGTCTGATCCACTCAGACCAGCGCAACACACACTAACACACCGTGTTACTGCAGTGCTGAGAATGATCCACCACCCAAATAGTACCTGCTCTGTGAGGGTCCATGGGGGTCCTGACCACTGAAGAACAGGGTAAAAGGGGGCTAACAAAGTATGCAGAGAAACAGATGGACTACAGTCTGTATTTGTAGAACTACAAAGTGCACCTATATAGTAAGTGGAGCTGATAAAATGGACAATGAGCGTAGAAACAAGGAGATGGTCAAAATGTTATGCCTGATCGGTGTAAATATATTTAAGGGGTCAGTCTCAACTTTTCGTTTAACACTTTCACAAGTCTTCCTAGCTTTTTGCTCCTTAAAACTGTAAACCAAATATGTGTGTCAGAAAGGTGCTATATAAATAAAAGTAACTATTACTGTGTCTTGCAGGAAGCATACTCTGTGGCACGACAATTTAACCAGATTCCCCCAATCTGTGAGCAGGCTGAGTATCACATGTTCCAGAGAGAGAAGGTGGAAGTGCAGTTGCCTGAGCTTTTTCATAAGATAGGTAAGTATAGCTGTCTTCTGCATCAGGGCTAGTAGCGTGGTGGATTTGCATTAATAAGGTGTTATTTCTAGACATGATAGAACGGGACACTCTGGAGCAGCTGAGTGTCGGCTAGAGGGGTATAAAGCCCCTCCAGCGTCTGAGCTGTGGCGCAGTGGAGTGTTGGAGCTTCATCCCATACCTTTGATCAGTTGGTGATCCAGATCATCATTTAACATCAGTACCTGACCTTACTAGTGCTCTTGTAACTAAATGCAATCAAATCCTTACAGCGATGTTCTAGCATGTAATGTAAAGTCTTCTCAAAAAAGCAGACGCTGTTACTGCAGCAAAAAAAGGACATCCGTGATGCCCTTAATTTAAGAAAAAAAGGATGTATGGCCAACTGTCCACAAACTTTTGGATATATAGTTGATTTGCTAGATGTTAATACTGTTAATGAAGAGCATAAAAAGTGTTTCTGATTGAAGCATGTTTTTCTTCGGAGTCTTGTATGGAGGAAACCTACCTTACTTTTGAAATACCAGCTGCCTGTATGCTCATCAATACTTTTGTGGCTATAAATGTATTATTGTTGTCAGGTCAAAACGTTATAACTCCACTTTAGGGGTGAGCAGTATGACAATTTGTTATCATACTGTGCTAAATTATGTCACAATATGCCACAAAACACTGAGTATATTGTAGATATAATCAGCACTTACAGAACAATGACCACCTGTATGTTTTGCTAAAAAGAAAGCATATTTGGTCCTGTTTAATTGGATTTAGTGTAGTGCAGTTTTGTTTTTTTTTATGTAACACAGCTGGTGCTTTTTTTGTCTGTTCCACCTTATCAAACCTCAGAAAAACTCAATATTGTGATGCGATTTGTGTATCGTGAAAATGTGTTCAAGTATTTTTGCCCTATGTGAAATGGTCATGATGAATGGACCGATAGAAACACTCCAAAAGTACTTGAGAAAATCTTGTTACATTAACAGACAAGAACTTATGAACACTTTTTACCATCCCCCAAAAACTTACCGTTTTAAAGATGGGTGTCTAGCTCATGTACATAGTTTGATCACTAGAGGTTTTCTAATCCTTGCTTACAAAAAACTGAAAGCTAATGACTAATACATTAAAAAATTTTATGCCTTTTATTAATTATGCACCTAAAAAGAGAATTCAAACTGTGTGTGTGTGTTTTAGGTGTAGGGGCAATGACATGGTCCCCGCTGGCCTGTGGGATCATCTCAGGGAAATATGACAGCGGGGTGCCTCCGTACTCCCGCGCCTCTCTCAAGGTACTACGTTTCCCATCAGTCCCTCTGTTCCTCGCTGTTCCTAGTGTTCTCGAACATTTGTGGCATCAAAAGTGGCTCCTCTTGTCTTTGGTGTTCTAATGGATGTGTTCGTATCTTCCAGGTTCTAGCTTTGGGTGTTTTCCCCTGTAGATGTGTTTGTCTGTGAAAGTTCCTTGTTGTGGCATGAACCTTCAGACCACAATCTTCTCTACATTTTTTTTTGTTTTTGTTTTGTCATGTGACAGTGTTTTTGTGGTAACTCTGAGGAGGATATTTAATGCAAGTTTGGTGCATCTGCCTCACCCACACCCACATACTCAGTCTTACACACACCCACAGCAGCATTTCTCCAGTGCAGTACTGTGTAACTGTATGTTGGTGGAGTGGCATGCAGCATTGTATTGCTGTTGGTCATTTGGTCTTCGCTGGACCTTTCATCCCTTAACCAGTCATCCCTTCCTCATCTACCCGTCCCCTCAGTGTGATCGCACCAGGGTCATTCATACTGTGTTCTTTCACTGGGTCTAAATCACGTATGAAGTGACACTTGAGTGATGTCCTGCGCTGGTGATCTGGACAGTGATGGGTCTCTGTGTACTTCAGATCTATGAGTGCTTGGATCATCAGAGCAAACTGGACCCTTCCCACTGTTAATCTTAACCAGTGATGTACCGTCCGGGTTACTTTATCCAGTCCCGGCACGCACACAAACTACTCTAATTATTCTGACGATGCGTAGATTTGATCCACCCACAAAATTAAAACAACTAAAAACCATTAAAAATGAAAACATTAACCCTTAGAAGTCACAGAAGTCTCTGGCAATAACAAAAGCTTATACACTACCAGTCAAAGGTTTGGACACATACTTTGGCTTATGTTTAAAGTTTTCAGTTGTTTCTAAGGCAAATGTGAATATTCAGACCATTGCATGTCTAGTAAGTTACACCCACAACAAAAGATTATTTTGAAATGAGTAGTTTCATTTTAATCCTTCCATCATTATGTCACTCTTATTACTAAGTGTCTTGTTAAAAGTCTTAGTTAATGCATTTCAGCCAGTCGGTTTTGTAGTCTGTTTAGTAGACGGCCGGTATTCCTGACTGTAGTAATACCATGATTGCTTTAATAGTTTTATTGCTTTGTTATTATTCTGTTCTATTAGATGTGTCCAGACTCCTAACTGGTAGTGCAGAGTAATCATTTCTCACTTACAGCTCAATGAAAAAAGTGGTGCAATTTTATCAAATATGCAGATTCTAATCTTTCAATTAATACCTGATTTGCTTTTATAAATGGAAGAAATTTTATTATGATTTGAATATGATGAAAATTTGATGTGCAGTCTTTACATTTTGGCCTAGTTTCTGTCATAATTTGACCTTCAAACAGAAAAAATTTAAAGTTCTATCAGGAACCTGTTATTACAAGATGTAAATCAAATATAAATCTAATTTGTTACTCACTGTTGTAATTTATTATGTAATTACATGTCAGTCGAATGGCAGAATGAAAGTAATAACTCTGGACTCCTAAGGGTAAAATCAAGAAAATGAGTACCTAAATGTCTATTCATAGAGGAAATATTGAACATAATCAGTCTTTGTGTGTGTGAAGTCTCTTTCACCCCTTAAAGTTGTCCAAGCAAAGAGAAACCCCCATGGCTTGGTCATCTTTTTGGGAAAAACAGAGTCACGTGTTTAAAAACAGGCCCTTGCTCACAAAGGTGCTTCATGGTGTGAATTCTTCTCCCAGTGTGTGTGTATGTATGTATGTATGTATGTATGTATGTATGTATGTGTGTATGCGTGTGTGTGAGAGAGAGAGCACCGCCGTGCAGCAGGGGCCCCTGTTTTTGAGCAGGTGTGCTGTGTTGTTGACAGGGCTACCAGTGGTTGAAGGACAAGATCTTGAGCGAGGAGGGCCGGCGTCAGCAGGCGAAGCTGAAAGAGCTGCAGGCAATCGCCGAGCGGCTGGGCTGCACACTGCCACAGCTCGCCATCGGTACGCAAAACCCCCTAAAGACACTGCCGCTCTCTCTCTTTCTGTCTGTCTGTCCGTCCGTCCTCTACCTCGCTCGCCCCCGAACAACCTCATCCCCTCTGTCTTCCACACTCTGTCACACACACACACACCACACACACACACACACACACATTCATACATACACACACAGGGATAAGACGCAAAATATTTTTCATTTGTTTTTTGTTTTTTTTTTAAATGAAAAGTGTTGGAAGAGAATACATAAGACGGCAGTCAAGTCAGCCAGCGTGAGTCTAGATGACTGATCCATGCGCTGCCCAGTTTTTATAGATACTGCTTACAGGTTGGACAAGCTTCTACAGAGTGCTAGTAAAATGTGAAAAGTCACACTCTTAGGATAGAGCTTTTTTTGTTAGTTTGTTTAGTCGAGGTTTTGCAAGAGATTTAAACATTGTTAACTTGTAAAGGAAACGCCGGCCAAAATGAAAAAATTACTCATTGATAAATCTATTGTAAACATGCTCCCTCGCCTCTTCCAGTAGTGCTGCATTCATCTCTAGAGTGAGATTTTCTAAATAAAAAGTTTTAAACTAAAAACTAAAAGGACTTGGTGGCAGCTGTTTGAATTTATTTTCACTCGCTGGCTGAATTTTACCTTCAGCAAAGGAAAAAGATTGACGAACATCTGAGGTCGCTATATCACTAATGCTGGCTCCACAGATGCATTTATTAGCCTCTAGATCAGTGGCTAACAGGAATAGTGAATGCCTCAGGGATTTCCAGTAAGTGTATGATGCACTTCCAGTAAGTGTATGATACACAAAAGCAAAATAAAATCAAACTACGTCAAACTATTGGGTGCTACCACATAAAACTATTGGGGTAAATACCACATAAAATAACAAATAACAGTTTAACTATATTAAATGCTGGTTTATGTGGCAATGCCCACCACTTTGACACCTCTAAAAATGACTTATTGAATATAGAAATTGGGACTCAATGTTAATCATTTAGTCACATCATTTATTTCTGTTGCATTACAAATGCAGTAACATGAATGTAATGCTGACAGTTTAGTATTTTAGCTCCATAATGCTCAAACATTCTGCTCTTCTGGAACAAATACATCACCAAATATAATCATCTGTCTGAGGCTGATTACAGAAGCCTTAAAGCACCATGTTTTTTACTCTGTTTTCCCATAATGAGTTATTTTCATTTGTTTTCTCAAGATTTCAAGATATTTATGGCTTTATCACAACATAAATACTGTCTCGATAAAACAATGTTTGTGTCAAGATAATATAGAATTCAAGTTATTAAAAAAACTCAAGATCTGAGTGAAAATGAAAATAACTCACTATCACAGAAGAACTGAGTAAAAAAATGCGAATCCATGGCCATTTAGGGCTTCAGTAGTCGATAATGATGTTTAAGAAGCAATTATCTGCTGATGCTGAAATGATGCCAATATCATTGTGCATCCCTAGTTATTATTTTTAAATTTATCTAATATATTATCTACTCTGAAACAAAAGTGATTTTTCTTCCTGCGTCCAGTTGAATTCTGTGAAAAGTACAGTTAATTTTCAGTTTTTGTTTAACCGTTTCTAATCCCTGCACACGTGCACACACACACACACACACACACACACATACACACACACACACACACACACACACACATACATACACACACACACACACACACACACACGCACATACACGCATACACACATCCCTAAATGTCCTTAAAGTGAAGTGTGAGTGGGTTCCTGTCTCTGTGTGAGTTTTGGGTGTGAGGAGTGTAGGTGGTTTGTGAAGTCTGGAGAGAGTGAAGTAGTCTAATGGCTCAGCACAGTGCTGGAATTAGTTTTCATAGCAATGGATTACAGTGTGTGTGCGCGTGTGTGTGTGTGTGTGTGTGTTCATCCCTCGCACTTCTGACTCATGAGACCCACGTTTGAGAAGCTTTTTTCCCCTCCTATCGGCACTAAAGCTCCCCGCAGCGGTAAAGCCCACACCCCGTTTTGACAGCACACCACCGCTGATTTACACACTGCAGGCGAGATGTGTGTATGACCGCCATCAGCCCCTCAATCCCCCTCCGATCGTGTTCCAGTAGAGCCCGCTATAGCACACCTCAGCCTGGCTCTTCTGGCTCAAACCTACAGGCATTTCTCACCCGCCTGCCGTGTGATACAGCACCATAGATCACATTTCACACCCCATTAGCGAGTGCCACTTCCTCCAATCACTATAAATCCCTCTCTCCCTCTATGGCTCCAGTCAGCTAATTTATGATCAAGCCAACAGCTCCCCTACTCATTCATACAGCCGCCACCGCTGAAGAGCTCAACACTAGGTCATGTTTATTGTTCATATACAGTAGGGCTGTCACTGTCAAGCAATATACTCATTAGTTCGACAATTAATCGCGTAATCGGAGTTGTTAGAAAGCCCAAATTGATTTAACTGAACAGTAACAAACTATGGATATCCATTCAAATATACCAACATACATTTTTTGGAAATTAGATCAACTAAATATTAAAAAACGATATGAAAACCAGCTCTTTCTGTCATGCAAACTACCAATTACCCCTTGCCAATTCATTGAGAAGGTAAAATTTAATCTTTTTTTTTTAATAAACTAAGTGAAGTTTAATCAAGTAATCGTGACATATAACAATATTGCATAAGTATGCCTAGGGTTACGTCAAGGTATGAAATTTTAATTAGAAGTAATTATCAGGGATGGACAAAATATTTAAAATGCTCAAGTATTCAGTCATTATGTTGGTATTTGGTTCTCTGTTTAGTATTCATAAGCTTTGTCTTTTCTAAGCCATAAAAAATGTAGCTTAAATATATCGCTGTTGTCAGAATTTTGCACCACATTCTGGGGGAATTTTTTGTCCTCACTGACTGAAATTCAGGAATCTTGATACACAAATAGGGCCACATTACAAATTATACATATTACTAGCTAGTAATTTAATCGTACTGCAGTAATGTACCTGTACTTGTGCCTTAAGGCTCGAAAATGTTGAATATGGGGATTTTTTGCCCTTATTTCTGATGCTAGATCAGGTAAAGAGGTGAAGGAAATGAATTTCTGATATGTTGGCAGATGTTTTGTTCTTACATTGTGAATGAAGTCACAGTGGCTCAGATATTTTCTTTTGCTGACCCCAAAAACCCTTTTATTGTAGCTTTAGTGTGAAAGAATGGGTTGTCTTGTTGACGCGTGTGTGCGTGTGTGTTATCATTAAGAATCAAAAGCAACAGACACTCCACTCTCTAACAGACTTCTCTGCAGTCCTCAGGGAAGAATTTGTAAGTAGTTCATATCATTAGTGAATCGAAATCTCGTTTTAGAGAATCAGTGCTGCACACATGAGCTTAAAGATGGATTAACGTTTTACTCCAACCAAATGGCCGCTCTTATTCACTCACTCACAAAACACAGTAGTGCCTACACACAGTGAGCCAGAGCCACAGATGGTACATACACACACTCAAACACTCATACACACTCTTTCTCTCAAGGAGTGAAATCCCCGCAGAGTTCCCCTCCAGTGTGTGTGGCTGAGGTGTTGCATGTGCCGTCTCTTGGGGGCTGCAGCAGTACATGGCTTCTCTCACCTCCTTTCCTACCCTTTCCTTCAGTGCCATTTCCACTGAGCGCTCCTTTCGCTCGCATTCTTAGGCCAGCAAGCAAAAAAATTAAGATATTTTTGTCTTCGTACTGTATACCCCGGTGCTGGGAGCCATGGTAACAGTGTGGTCTGGCAGCTGTTTCTTTTCCTATGTGTGTTATGTGAGATGCCTCAGTGTGTAGGTGGGAGAAGTGGCTACAGTATTTTTTAATTTTGGAAACGGCTCTAGTTTTTCCATGGTTTGCGGTTGTTATAGATGGGTAGGGGTATGATCTGTTTCTAAATTCTGGTTGCGTGCGTGTGGGAGAGTTCAGGGGGGCGTATTGTGTGCTTGTTGTTGTTGATGGTGCTGTATTGGGTGTGATTATGTGCTGGTCCTCTGCAGCGTGGTGCCTAAGGAACGAAGGAGTCAGCTCTGTGCTCTTAGGAGCCTCCAACACTGATCAGCTCATGGAGAATATAGGCGCAATACAGGTGAGGCCTCTGGGTATTTTTGTGAAAAGACATAATATTGTATTATATAGTATATTGTGTAGTATACTGTAATATTGTAATATATATAGTATATTGTGTTTTCTGAAAATTATGTTTGCATATGTTTCTATACAGTTGTTAGAAAAAGTTTGAATACCCCTGAAATTATATGTTTTGTCGATCTTCTAAGTGGAAAAAAGTTTTTCTCTACAGGGAACAAACTTAAATATGACATTTTTCTGAAAATTTTAGTGCACAATTTCTATTTATTGGTTGAGGTTAACGTATTGAAAAAAAATAATAAACACAAAATATTAAACGTGCCGTAACCTTTCCACAGGCCACATTTTGCGCTTATTTATTTCCAAAATGTTAAATTCAGCAAATAGACAGTAGTAAATAAACAGTTCTTTGTAGAGTGTATTTTAACTTATTTTCATTTAGAAAATTAACAAAGCGTGTAATTTCGGTGGCACCAAACTTGTAATTCTGTAATCCTTTGGCGTATGTCTGATTTAATATTTTATTCTCTTAATTTTGCCAATGCATTGGTCACACTTTATTATGATGGCTTCTTATTACTTATCTACAAATCGGTTTTGGTTCAACAACGTTGGGCTATGAGTGCAGATTAGAACCCAGGTTTGAGTTAGAATGAGGTTTTGGGTTGAGGTCAGCGTTACAGTGTGAAGTTTAGATTTATGGAAAAGTTTAATTTAATGGATATTTCATTCAGTGTCAGTTGAAGACAAGGTGGGCGTCTACAAAGTGTCTACAGTGGACCATCAAAATAAAGTCCTACCAGTCTCTAATATTGGATCACACACTCCCCCTAGTGGCTTTCTAAGGACCATTAAAACAGCGCAGTGCTGTATTTCTTTCCATCATGCTGCTATGCTAAAGCAGCACTCCATGGAAAAAATATGAGTGACCCAAATAGCTGAATCTAGAGAGGTGAGGTGAGGTCAGAGTACACCAGATGAACCCACGTTTTCATTACAGTTCAAATTCAGTTACTGACTTGATAAGAGTCCCGTTGCTTGTGTTATTCATGTCTGTAAGAGAACAGTATTAATGATGCATTACAACATAAAAGCATCTGAACCTGGTAAAATGAAACTGACGGATAAAGATCCCTGTGCTGAAGAAGAAAGAGACCCAACCTCACCTCACCAGATTAGACACAGAAGTCATGAGTAATGAAATCCCTTTTTTCATAAAGGAAGAAGTAAAATAATCCCATTAGAGTCTGAGAGAAGTAATTTGTCATTTGTTATGGAGTAACTACCCCAACTCTGTTAAAAAAAGATGCTGATCCCTTTGCTCTGCTCTGCTGGTAATTATTGATGCACATGAGCAGCACTAGAACTTTGGTATATCTTGTATTACTTGGAGTAATGTTCTGTTGAAAAGACTCACTTTTCAGTAATAAAGTTTTTTTGTTACCTTCTAGATTAGGGCAAACTAAATAATCTAGTTCTCACAACGGTGCAAAAGAATCCAAATCCAAAATCCAGCACTTGGTTTTCGTTTTCAGTTTTAATTTTGCTGGATCACTAAAACTAACTGTACTGGCGCTTTTGCAGGTCCTCCCGAAGTTATCCTCCTCCATCGTGCACGAGGTGGACAGCATACTGGGGAACAAACCCTACAGTAAAAAGGACTACCGCTCCTAGTGCGTGGGGAGACCAGGGGCCATCCGCACCGACCTTTGCCTGTTCCTCTGTTTGCTTGAGCTTTTACTGAATGAGTAACCGGCGCATGAGACTGGCAGGCACTCCCGACCCTGGAGGGGAAGCCTTTTAGAAAAATACAGGGCAAGACAAATAAGAGAAAAAACTTAAAAAAAAAAATGAAAACAAACAAACAAAAAAAAAATAGACAGTCATATTCACAGAGAAAAGGAAAGAGCCAGACCTACCTGGTGGGAATATGAGCTCATAGAGTAAACTGTTAAACATTCAACTCTGCAGAAAAAAAAGTCATTTAAAAACTGAAGTTAAAAAGAAAGAAAGAAAAAATAGCACACGCTTGCTTGGCTGTTGGAAATATTCTGTTTTCCTCTTTGCATTTTTTTTATTTTGATACTGATGAATGCGTATTTGACAAAAAAGCAGAGCTTAAGTTAACGTAGGTAATCAATTCACATTCGTTGCACATCTCCCATAGCCACTCATAAGGTTCGCTTGTTCGTTTACGGACGTCGGTTGCATCATCAAAAGTTTCTCCCCGAAAACCTTTCACTGTGTCGTCTGCGTCATGATTGCACGTGCCCCTTCGCAGATGAGCCAATCAGCACTTTAGGAGTACGTCTGAAGGAGTGGCTATGGGAGGCACTGATGTTATATGTGAGGAGGGAAAATAAATCAACAGCATCATCTGTGCTGCTTTTCCTTCCCAAGCACAGGGCATTGTCTTAGTGTCCCCTGCTGACTGGCCGTATAGCACAGTCATAGCTCCAATAAAGATCAGCAGTGCTTTCCCAACAGGGCCGTGGGAGATAACTCAGCTCAACTGAGGCGTTACTGCAGATGTGGCTGCTTAAGATATGCTGGAACTGAGAGTAGCTAATCTACCCATGATAATCTCATTAAAAATAAAGCATATTGGCAACTGCAAGGGAAACCTTTAAGGTTTGAAGATATTTAACCTGCTGTTCTCTAGTTTATTAACTGCTATTATTATAATGTAAGTTATAAGAGTGAGAGTGAATTGGAAGTGTGGTGGACCCACAACGAGCCCTTGGTGCGGTTTAAGGTTTATGGGGTTCATTTTGGAGGGTTTCAAGGGATTCGGTACCATTTGAGCATTTTGGCAAACATCAATTTATGATTGAAAGATTTGATAATTTGACAAAATCCCCTAGACAGTTGCAGCAGCTCTGCAGTTAATGTCATCTGTGGTCTATTAGAGCACATACTGGTGAATTGGCGGATTATCGTAGCCAATAAACGCGTAGACTGTTCAATGGCATTAGCTTGCTTGCCCCCATAAGGAGCATAGACTGGTTCATGTCAGCAGCTCAGGGACTGGTACAGAATGTGTGTGTGTGTGTGTGTGTGTTTGTCTGAGTGTGTGAGTGCATGATTGCAAGTGAGAAGCAGAGCATGCGTTGTTTTTTGCGTGGTTAGGAGGCAGAATTCACTGTCTAAATGTCTCTCACTTCTGGACACTGGACATTACTGTTAAGAACCAGTGACATTACATGTGGCTGAAGCCAAAGATAATATCCCACTTCCGCCTGCGCCATTTCTCACTGCATCTCCGGCTCTCTGGAGGTGAAAATATCATTAAACAGCATGTACTTCCCAGCGTTTACCTATGCTAATGCCATCTCTCCTTTTCATTGTATATTCTCTCTGGGCAAACCGTCTAGCGATATAAATACATATATACATAGTGCATCCTATATATTAGGAATGATAAGCAGTCATTAGACCTTTTCTAAAGGGATGTTATTCACATTATTTAGCAACAAGCAATCAGATGTCCAGATCCATGACCCATGCACTCAATCCTTCTCAGACTGATCTATACCCCCTGGTAAGCACAAGGGAATTGCATGAGGTCCATTCTCCCAAAGCATGTACTACACAGAACAGCCATTACTGAACTGATACAGTTACACTGGAAGAACCGTCTACAGTTTGAGGACATCGGATAACGTATTTGCACAGATATTTCTGCTCAAGGTCAAACAGAAATCACAAATTTTGGTCAAACATGGCAAAGATTGAAAATGGTTCAGTCTCACTTTTTGCTGGGGGGAAAAAATAACTTTCGCAAGAAAATCTCTGTGTCAGATCATCAGTTGAGTAGTATATGTGTGAGTTTTACCAAGTACTTTGTGTTTGTTCTATGATGGGCAAGTTTTTGGATTAACACTCAGTGTAGACCTTTGTTATATTCCGTTGCAAACATTAGTCAAACGTGAGTTAATAGAAAATGTGTGATAATGAATGCATATGTCATCTTTTTAAGATCCGTGAAAGCTTTCACTCCTCATATGATACCAATGCAGCTCTTCATAATCACTTTCGGAACAATTTGCACTTTATCGGTTATTTTAATGAATCCCTTTTTTTCAGTTACTGTATGTGTTTGTTACCAAAAAAGATGCTTTAAGTATAGTAGAGATGTTCAAAAGATAAAGCAAGCATGGCAAACTGGAGAAAACACTTCAGTAGACTTCAATAGTCACATGAAATCCGTTAAATGAAGAGTAGATCTGTTTGAAAAGTTAGCAGTATAAATATTAGGTTAAGATTTAGGCATCATTTTTAAATGTTGGTTAGCTTAGTGAAGTATCATCGTCAAAGACGGTACACATCACTGTGTGCTCCATGCAGTAGGTACAGTACGCTACTGTATACGAGTTAGAAAAGTTACAGCAGCAAATACTGAGTCGTTAAGGTCAGATATTTATGTATTGGCTTTGACTCCCAATGTTTCCATTTGTGAAGATGGTCTGCTGTTGTTTGTCTTGTTTTATTAGTGCTTCTATGACGTCGCCCTGTTTTCTGTGTAAGAGATTTTCTCAGGAAGGAAGGGCATTACTGTTTGTTGTCTGCAGTGAGAAATTAGTTCAGCACTTAAGATGTTCATAGTGCGCTAGCGCCTACGTTTGGTCGTACGTTAGGACTACATTCGAAAAAACATATCGGTGCGAATTGGCAGTGAGGTGCATACAAATGGTACTAGCTTGCTGTAAACTCATTCACAAGGCACGTCTCGTCTCCCAAAGCTGAAACGAGACCGGACAGTATTTACCCATCGCAGTACTTTAACATTTCTACACAATAGAGCTTTTTTATTTTCATATACCAGTCGTGGTATTTCTGAGAGCATGGCTTTTTTCATCCGTAAGAGCCACCTCTCATGTTAATGTGTACTACTTATTGCCACAGAAGCTGGGATAGAGTGCAGAGTCCCTGAAGATAACAAATCAGACCTGTAGATACGGGAAGAGTGCTTATTTCTAATTAATCATTCTTTATTTCCCGAGAGATTATTTTTTATGTTCAGTATTTTAGGATAAGGGCGAGAAAATAATTTTATTTTTTTACCATTCTTCGTTGCCCTGATTTGATATTGACACGACCGTGGTGATGACGACAACGACGAGCAATTATTTGCACTGAATATGCATTTTGAAGAATAAAATGTATACAACGGCAAGCTTACATTTCCACCCTGTGTGGAGAGATTCTGTATGTCGAGACAGAAATCTGTATATAGTTTGACCTTTGTACATATATACATATAAATGGTTGTGATCACTTTGGCCTTTTTTTTTCTCCTTTTTTATTTTCATTGACAGGCATTGCTAACTGCATTGTGCTTGAATCTGAATTTAGACATGTACAGCTTCAGTATCTATGAAATGGAGATTATAAAAACGATGGCAATGAAAATCAGGCTTATTGTCTTTTTTTGTGTTTGTTTCAATTAAAGTGAAATGAGATGTACATAAAAGCAAATTCAAAGTCTAACCTAAAAAAAAAAGAAAGGTTCTCTGGGTGAAGGTTTTTCTTAACCTACTGCAGAAATTCAAATTAGGAATAATGTGTATCATGAAAAACCTCATCTAATGTGACCTTTATTCACAAATACAGATTTAAAAATGTCCACCATACATAAATACACATAATTAAACTTTATACATACCAAAAAAGAGTGAAAATGCCAAGAAAGCATGTGAGGTTCCGCAGTGGACAAAAGACTATTGTTGGAAATTCAAATTAGGGGCACTGCATTATTCTGCGATAACCTCGATAATCATGAATTCAGACGGGAATATTATTTTCTATAAGCCCTGCTCTGAATAGATTATAGAGAGGAAGGCGAAATAGCACCATGTTCATTAGGAAGGCACTTCATGTACACACTAGACAACTTCACAGCGCTCAAATAAAGCCCCAAAAATAATGCAGCATTCTGAATTATGTCAAAGCAAATATAAAGGAGAAGAATTAAAATATCTAACAATTGTGTATCATTTGTTTTACGACACACTGTTGTACTCTATTGTGGTACATCTTTTTCTGAAAGATTAACTGACCTTTTGCAAAATAATGATTGACACACCTCTTGGCCAATCACAGCTGTCTCTGAGCGCCTCTTCTTCCATTAAGTGAAGAACTCTGACAAAACTCCTCAGAACAAGCCTGCAGTGAGAACGATGGTGGCAGTAGATCAGTCAGAATTATTAGAACATTCTCAGACACCTGTCCTGATCATCTGGATCACCCATGCTTTTGTTTCATTCCTGTAGCTGAAAAGAATTTGGGTTAAATTATGCGGAAGACCAAACTCACAACTTAAAAACCTAAGGTAAACTAAACTCACTGTATTTGCTAACGTTCATTTAAATATCATGTATTATGAAAAATGAAGTGAAAGGCACAGTAAACGATTCTGGAGAACGACTGTTGATATTTGAACTCGATAGCAAAACAAATACACCCCTCTTTTCAGTGCTCTTTCAGAGGCTCCACCCCCTGAATTCATGGACGCACGTTGTCAACATTACCAGACTGGGCTGAGATACTTGTTTCTTCATCATTTGCAAATGTTGCACAGACAAATAACACAATCTAACATTAGAGCAACGACACAGCAAGTAGTGTAACTAACATTGATTAGCAAACTGTCGCTACAGCTGCAAAGCCAGTTGTTATCACAAACATTAGCCAACGAGAAAAAATACTGAACTACTGATTCTGTGAAACAGCAAAAATAACAATGTTTCAATAGAGCAGCCTCCTCATCCCTTTTCATGCCTGTCATCTTCTTTTTTGCCAGCTTCCTTTTTGAAGTTTCCCGTTCCACCTTAAATGGTGCAGCAGTTACATTCAGGCCTGTGCACGAACGACCCCTGTTGCTGATTGGCTGGAATAGTTTTGTGTCGTTTGGTCCGAGACACTTTGTTTCCCATTTACATAGTCAGGGCTGTGTGTATGAACCCTGGATTATTTTTCACCGCGTACACAGAATATTAAATTAGCGGACTGTGAGGAGATATTAGCTGAATTTGACAAAGTGTGTTGGACTGAAATCATATATTGTGCCTTTAATTTTTCTTAGCTTCAGTGTTAGCATTAACCTTAGCATTAGCTCATCTGAAGGAGCTGCATCAGTTGTTCAGAACTTCCCCTTATTAGACATGAAAATCTGCCACTTCAGCATGAAGTGACAGACTTTCCTGGTGTGATTAATGTAAATTTTGTCTTTGTGCTACAGTCGTCTGTTGGCACAAACACTACAGCTACTACCTACCATGTGGCATGAGCTGAAAGTTTGACGAATGGAGGTGGGACTTGTCAGAATTTTGCAAACGGTCAGTTCTCCCAGACCTGATGAAATAATGTTGTGTAAGCTTATTAATGTTAATGTTGCCTCTTCATTTTCCAGAGGAAAATCCATTTCAATATCCCTTTGCTAGTCTCCAGATTAGCTGCTTGAAATGAATCAGATTTGTACATAGTTAAGTATTACACTTCAAGATAAACACACAAATGTAAATGCCCTGAAACAACAAGACAACCCATAAATGCCCAAGTAGAATTACAGATATGAGCACATCACTAAAGAAACGTTTGCATTTTAGGTGACCATATAAAAAGATCAGGGATGCCCTGCATCAACTTTCAGAGTAACAGTGCTAACATATCAGTTATTGCCTTTCATATAAACTTGTACTGAATTCTCTGATGAGGAATTGTTGATCCTAGTTTTACCAAACACTTGATGCACAGCGGTCCAGGTCATAGATAAAGTGCTGTGTGTCTTCTGATGGCACCTGTTCAAATATGGTGCCACCTCTGACATCCGCCTTTAGGTCTGGTCCTCATTTAGTTCGCACAGCTTCTTAAGGTATTTCAATTGATGGGTTGATCTTAGTTGTTTGCTTTACAAGTCAACAAGAAACCAGCCAGTGACTTCGCCAGTGAGCCAGAGTTTTTTCTTGACGTCATTTTACACAAATATAATGGTTTTGCTCTCCTCTGAGACTTTACACGTGTATTTAGTCACTGTTCTGCTCATGTACAGCTGAAGCAGAATCCTCTACCCCAGAGGATGAGCCAGTAGCTGCAATTGTGCCCTTAGTTTTCTTACTGCTTCAGTCTCTGGACGTGTTCAGAGAGGGAGGGCTATAATGAGTTGTGAGGTGACTGGTCCTTTCTTCTGGTCCTGCTGCTGAATTGTGGAGGTCCACCTATGGATGTAGGTACAATCAATCAATCAGAGTTGCTTTAACCTCAGTATCTCACTCACACAAAGTGAACTAACCAAGAAGTTCACAGTTTAAATTGTAAATGAGTTATAATGAGAATTTTCACATTTTGCTTGTAACTACTCCAAAAGCATCATATTTTTTAAAATTCTGAAAGAAAAATGTTTATTTTGGGAAAGAGTGGATCATTTCTTTAAATCATAAAAAGATATCTGAAAACTATATGGCTGTTTCCCAACTGGAATCATCCTTCAAGTCAACCTGAAATCAAAATGGATCTTTTTTTTACCTTAAAGTTCATGTCCTTGGTTATGTTAACCGTATTCTTCATCTCATTCTTGTTTCTCCATAATCTTTGATCAAAATGTAATGACTTTTGCCTGCCTCAAAACATTTTGTGACGTTTGATTACATTACCATGCACCACCTTACCACGCAATATGACACGTTAAGGAAGGAAAATGTGCTCTGCTTTTTGATTCATCTTGATTTTCATGTTTTTTGGGGGAAAATTCAGCAGTTCCTTTTAAAACAGTTAATAGCATTTACAAATCATAAATATTAAATCCTAAATTTCTTAAATTAAATATTCAATAAAATTTCAGGACTGAAAAGAAGGTATCTTCGTGCAGTTTGCATTACCTTCTGTACACGTCAGCCCAATCCAGCCATTCAGACACGTGCAGCGTCCATTGCGGCTGTCGCAGTCTGCTCCGTTCTCACACTCGCAGCTCAGGGCGCAGTCCGGCCCGTACTGGTTCACACTGCAGTCTGTCACGTACATGCAGCAAAAAAGACAAACAAGAGAAAAAATAGATGAAAATACTAAATAGACCAACATGGCATTCTCGCTCTGAGGGGTGAGTATATGGACTTACCACTGTCACACCTGATCCCGGTCTTTCCTGAAGAACACAGACACATTCCACTCACTGGATCACACGGCGTGCTCTCCTCACAGTCACATGACTGAGAACAGTTCTGACCAAAAGTGCCTTGTTCACATTCTGAAAAGAGATCGTTGTGTTACTTGCGGATGGGTGTAACGCACAGCATGACAATATTTATCATTATTGTGAAAGAACACATTACATCATGTCACAGTACGCTTTATCGTCAGCACTTATCGCTGTTGTCGGAACAAAACCTCATATCTCCAAAATAGTAACTTTACAGGAGAAGGAAAAACATACTTTTAATGTAAGTCAATGGAACCAGACCTTTTTCCAAGTCATTTTGGGCCGTTTCTTTTGGTCCATTCATCATGAAATTGGACCAACTGCATGTTTCATTACGAAGAGCATAAATAGCCCTGTTTAAAAGATTTATTCCATTGCAGTATGTGAAATTTTACATTTTTTTTATCTGTTCCTACTTATAAAACCTCAGAAACCTCAACATATTTTGCTGCGTATCATGTATCGAGAACATTTGTAAATATTGTGGTATTACATTTTTTCCATATTGCCAACCCCGAAAAGCCTTTTTAATCTTTGCCACATACTACCTTACGAACACTTACAGCTGTTTCTTTAAAGTGACTGGTAATAAACCTAATTTGCAGTTTTCCCTTAGGTCAAATGTATTCGATCAGCCAAGACATGCTTGGTTTAGTTTTGCACTGGCTCTCGGTGGCCAATGTGTCCGTACCTCAAGCCCTTTGAGCTTCAAGTACCGCCCAGCTTGACTCACCATCCTTCAGGACACGTTGAAGACAAGCATCAAGACTCTTATCTATCCTGGCACCCAGGTGATGGAATGAACTCCCACTGGTTGTCTGAACTGCCTGAAGATGTCTCATCTCTTTATGAAGCATTTAAATGAACACTAATCTAGTGGTTACGTCTCAATTCTATGTTTTGTATCTTTCTTGGTATCAGCACTCTTGTTTCTGGCTGTCTCTTCGCTCAAGGATACTTTACAATTTAGGGAATGCTAAATGACATAATAAGGGGGGAAAAATCAGGTTTTAAGACAGCTGCTACAACTGATTTTAGCTCTTCAACCTACTTTTGTCCATTCTTATGAATAACAGTATCTCATTCACTGAACAGGTGAGACTAATGCATGTTGACTGTGTGTTGATGCTAATTGGTGGGTTATAAGCTTCCATTACTTGTTAGCTACATTGTATCTCTAGTGCAAAACTGAGGAAGCAAATATTAGACACTGAACATGCCTCGGCTGATCTACATTTGATGGTTAGTGAAAATTATATTTTGCTGAAACAGCAGTTTAAAGGCGTGGGGTTAAACGTGTAGAGGTCTGACCTCTCTCGCAGCGTAGTCCCCTGTATCCTGCAGGGCAGATACACTGGCCAGTGCTCGGGTGGCAGGGAGCTCCATTCACACAGTCGCAGTGCTGCTGACACTGAAGTCCGTATAGACCTGCAGGACAAACTAAAACACGAGAACAGAACTTTCAGAAGAGAAACGAAGGAAAAACTACTGTGAAGGCAGATGATTAACATCACGCCTGAGGGTTGGAAATGTGTGTGTGACAGAGAGACACACCATGCTCACAGCGATGTCCATAGTAGCCTGGTCCACACTGGCAGCTTCCTGTCACTCTGTCACAAGTACTGTTGTGCTGACACATACATTCCAGCACACAGTTCGGACCATAGCGTCCCTCAGGGCACTCTGCCATACAAACACACACAGAGAAGCACACGGGTTACAAACAGTTACACCAGCAGCATCCCTCTCATAAAATAACCCAACACCCTCCCCAAGTTCAGCAAAAAGTTGGGAAGTGGAATAAACCTAGTAGCTTTGGTCATTCAGTATGCACTATATATATATATATATATATATATATATATATATATATATATACACACACTAAATTATTTTACCTATTTGTTTAATGATTTGTTTTTAAGACTATAAGACTATAGTTTAATGTTTTGTTTTGCATATTATTTCTCTAATAAAGATGATGTTAATCATAATATAGTGTTGATATGTCTTGTGTGTGTAAAACACTCTCCCAACAACGTTTGTAGATATGAAGGGTTCTTTTATAGAGGTTTCTAAGAAAAGAAGTAGGGATGTGCTGATATGAGAATTGTGAGCAGGTAGCTGATATTTTTCATGTGCTAGCAGTCATGTGCAAAACTTTGGGTACCCCTACTCAAAATACATTTTGTTGATTTTCTAAGTGAGAATCACCAAACTCTACAGAAAACACAATACTGCACATTTTAATGCACAATTTCTGTGCGTTTGTTGAATTTATCATATATATGTTTAATAAAAGTGTGCACAAGTTATGGCATATTTTACATTTTAAATTTATATTTTAAATGCTTATTTTCCCTAAGAAAAACAATCGCATATCAGTGTTCTTCCTGATGCTGATTCATAATCATTTCTAAAATTTGGCACTAGAACTTGGATAAGAATTCCAGAGTAACATTTATTTCTTTAGAGCTACATTTGCAGTAAAATTAATGAAGTGCAGATATTTTAGCATCGCCTAAACGACAAAAAAAATATCAGTTGAGATATCAGCCATATATCTAAACATCTGTCAGGTGTCAATATTTTTCTTTTTAAGCAAAGGTATGCCGGTACCTACATGATTCCAGTATCACTGTACATCCCTAAAAAGAAGCCCAGCACTCAACACAGCCTGATTTCAGCAGCTCAAGTAGACCTTGTTCTCAGATGTTTTTGGAACAATTTGTAAGGTTCAATGCAAAACAATGAACAAATAATAACAACAACAATGGCTCACCTTTCTCACAGTGGAGTCCAGTGAAGCCCAGTCCACATGTGCAGTTCCCAGAGACAGAGTCACACAGGCCCTTGCTACTGCAGTTACAGCGCTGAGAACAATCCGCACCAAACCAGCCTGGAGCACAGCCTGCGTACACACACAAATACATTATACAGTTACAGCACACAGTAGGCTGTAGCACATGCTCTGTTTAAGGTTTGTTTTTGTCGTCTGTTTATCCCTGACATTCAACCAACCTTGTCCACAGTCTTCTCCTTTGTGCCCAGGGGTGCACACGCATCTCCCCGTCACTGGGTCAGTCCTTGCCCCGTCACCACAGAGTGCCACGCGGGCACAGTCCTGCCCGTAGCGGCCGGTTGGGCAGGCTGCAGAAAAAAGAAAAAGTGAGATGGGTACATTTATCTGTAGTGCACTGCCAAACATCAGACATACATAGCTGCTGTCATTTTTTATGTTTTTTTTTCAGTTTTTGACATAATTTGAAAACACCTGTTGCTCTTTACATTGTGTGTAAATTTTATGATGAATAAACCAAAAGTAATGGCACAAAATTACTTGAGTCTGGTTCCATTGACTTACATTAAAAATAAAGTGTTTTTTCTTTCTCCTCTTTCCTTAGTATTTTGGATATACTAAGTTTATATATACATATATTTTGCTACACGGAAGAAAACCTCACATCCCAAAAATAGTAACTTTACAGGAGAAGGAAAAAACCTACTTTACTTTTAATGTAAGTCAATGGAACCAGACCTTTTTTCCAAGTCATTTTGGGCTGTTTCTTTTGGTCCATTCATCATAAAATTTACATACAATATAAAGGGTAATAGGTATTTTCAAATTATGTCAAAAACTGAAAATATATATACATATATAAATATATATATATATATATATATATATATATATATATATATATATATATAGGATCAGGTCTCAGCAGAAGATGAAAATTATAGCACAAAAGGAAGAATATTGCATCACTGGAACAACACTGTGCAGATATTCTACTTCCTTTCTCTGATAGCAGTTTCTGTCTTGTTCTATACTCCATGGAAACTTCCAGGTGAAAACTTCCAGGTGAAAACCACACCTTACTTCAGAGTCTGCAATTCACTGCATTTTAAAACATCCTGCTAGGTGGACACTTTTAAAAGGACTTACTGATGTTGCACTGAGCACCTATAAACCCTGGAGGGCATTCACAGGTGCCTGTGGTGGCCTGACATACCCCACCATTCAGACACTGGCACTGCCTCTCACAGTCAGGACCATAGCGTCCCCTCTCGCACTCTGGAAAATAAGCACACACAACAAAAACTTATCATTACACTTCGTTTCATATAGGAAAAAAACATGTTCATACTTAATCTACAAGAATCTGATGCAATGTCAAGCACTCAATACAATGTTAAAAATGGGTTTTTACTGAGATTGCACTTTGGTCCTCTGTATCCTGGAGCGCAGTAGCACTCTCCTGACACCGGGTGGCACAACTGATTCCTCTCAGAGCACTGGCACACCTGATTGCAGTTGAGTCCGTAGGTGCCAGGCAGACAGGCTAGACATAAAAATGTGTAAAATCAGAATTAAAAGACTACAAAGACTCAATAATGTCCTTCTACTATAGTATATTAACCCAGTACAAAGTCACCTCCAGCTCCCTTTGTCAGAATCACTCAAGTACTCACTCAGTTCACAGCCGTTTCCAGTGTACCCGGGTGGACAGCCACACTCTCCGGTAACATGGTGACAGGAAGTGCCCTGTGGGCAGATGCACAGCTCAGCACAGTCCTTACCATATGTGCCAGGCAGACAGGCTGATGGAAAAGAGAAAATCAGAATATAACCATTTAAGATCTCTTCAAAAATTACATCATTACAAAATGCAAAACAAAGTGAGTGATTTAATAAGAGTTTTCTAAGAGTTCATACTGGGTCAAGCCTGTTCAGTAATAAATCATTATCATAGATCATTATATAGATTCTGTGTTAACTCTGCCAACACAAAGGCACGAAAGCCTTGAGAGTTCCACACTTTCACTCTCGTAACTACATAACTTACATATCAGTTTTATAGTAGCTACCATAACATTCATAGGAACTACTTCAACACTGGGATTTAAGAAAAAGAACTACATAATAAACCTGGAAATTTAAGGGCTTAATAGTTGTGAAACATCAGAGGTGAATGAGCACAGATTTGTAGTAGATCTAATGCTGGGCTGCATATGAAGCTGATGAACGGATGAGCTGACCTTTATCGCAGTGATCTCCTCTCCAACCAGGAGGACACAAGCAGGTTCCTGTAACATGGTGACAGGGAGCGCCGTGCTCACACCGACACTGCTCTTCACAGCCCAGCCCGAAACGCCCAGACACACAGGCTAATAAGACACACAAAGTCAGACAGCTGCATAAGATAAAATGTATAATGTATATATTTCTATATCCTTTGGTAAAAAAAAACAGTTACATGGTTTACCCCAAAAGTAGTCAACCAAGACATGTTTGGAGGCCGAAGTTTCACACTGGATCTAAGAGGCTAATGTAGCTGAACAGTCATTCAAACTGTATGCATAAATCATCACACAGCCTCATGCTGAGGTGTAATCTTAAATAGACTTGCTCATGTAGTTTCTAACACTGCACAACACTATTATTAAAATGGATTAACAAAATTCAGGCTTAAGACGGCTGCTATTGTTTTCAGCTACACAACATCCACTGTTATAAGACAGCAGTATGTCATACAGTACTCTACTGAGTGGCAATAGGCTTTCCTTTCCATTTTCAGCTACATTATCCTCATATTTCCAATGCAAAACAAAAGATAATAAAGTTTGAAATGGCAAAAATGTTTTGGCTGACATACTGGAGCAAGGTGGAAATTGTGTAAATTATATTTTTGCTAGACTTTACCATACTTCACCTGGTTATGTGCCATAACCTAACACTTCAGCAAAAATCCTTACTACATTCATTCCTTTGTTCAACAGAGCAGAATCGGAATGTTTTAGGAACCAATCCCTTTGTGGCATATGTACGGTGCCAGAGGGATGATGTTTTCATGCTTCTTATAGCAGAGCGATAGTAGACCTTAAAAAGAAGCATCCAACTGTAGCTTTAACAAAACATACCTTTTTCACAGTGCTCTCCAGTCCAGCCTGGCCCACAAGCACACTGCCCAGTCTGCCTGTCACACTGGCCTCCATTCTTGCACTCACACTTATGCTGACAGTCTGTCCCAAAACTTCCTGCGGCACACTCTAAAAATACCAAGAAATACATAAAGGGAGAAACAAATCAGTCAGGAAAAAACAGGACTTTCACTTGAGTCCAGGAATCACTATTTCACTTGTAGGACTAACTAGACTATCAGAATCTAGTTAGTGAATAGTTTGGTGAAAAATCAAGTTTACACAATTTATCACTTACTCCAAAAGTAGTCGATCAGCCAAGACATGTGTGATGTCCAGAGTTTGCTTCTTAAGTTTAGAACTGCAGCTATGAGACTAATACTGCTAACAAACACTAAAACTCAATAATCACCCAAACAGACCAAATCGATTTCCATGAAAATACTTCACCAGAGCTTCTCTCAACTCTCACAAACCGCATCCAGGTCTTCATTAAGGTTCGACAGTCAAAGATACTGATTCTAGATCAGCACTCCCACTCTTAAAGTGGTTTGTGAATACAGACTCTGTTGTCTAAAAAGGGCTGCCTGCAAAGTTCAGCTACACAGTGAAGTTTTGTTGTGTAGTCATATTGTGCCCTAAACCACATCAAAAAGTTTGCATGACCTTAACAAAGAGCTGGATGCTGTTAAGTGGGTTGAGAGATGTTTTGGTGACATATTTTTATGGAAATTATTTGGGCTATTTGGGTGACTGATGAGTTTTAGTCTTTGTTAGCAATGTTAGCCTCATAACTCGAGTTCTAAACTAAAGAAGTGAAATTAGATTTCCCACCAAACTATTCTGTTTTCAGGCTTAACTTGACCAGCCAAACATAATAACTGGCACAAAAGCTGTATTACCCAAAGCCTGACCACGAGTCGATGTCTAATTAAAGTCTCACATGTTTGGCAAGGTGAGATGAACTTGTGAGATTGGGAATTTCCTGTAGTGTGGGCTTCGTTAGGCTGTTCTTGCTGAAACGTTAATAAATTTACACCCTGGAGTTTTAGAGCGGAGCGTTATGAGGTGAGTGGGTAGGAAAGAAGAAGTTTTACGGGGCAGACAGCTTGAGGAGGTCTAGAAGACTGTCTGTGGTCACAACTGCTGCTGAATGTCTGCCACAGGAGCTAACAAGCTGCCAAAGACCAGCAGGAGACAAAACAAATGATGTCAGGACCGAAAGCTATGGTTGCTAATTTGCTTCCTGAGTATGGGGCAGCAGCGCTGACCACAGCGGATTCCCACGTTGAATGCTATAAGGTTATGTTTTCCCAAAGCCAGTCAGGTCTAAGTTTCATATGACATTTACAGTAGCTCTGTGTTCTGTGTTCTGTTTAATTTTGTTATTTGTCTGACTGGACGTGACAGCACTGTATTTATTCAAATTTTAGACCACAGATAAGCGAGAGCAGCATATCCCAGACCACGGGATAGCGCCAGACCACCTGAATTGGTGGAATGTCTTCATAGAAACTTGAGCAAATAAATATGGAAAGTCTACACCAGAATCATTTCATCACACTCAAATTTAACTGAAGTATTAAGGGTAACATTCTAATAATGTAATGTTACCAAGAGATACTTAGGTGAGAGAGATAGACACACACTGATGAAACTTTGATGCTTAAATCACATTTAAGATGCTACACTCACACATTTTCTTATGGGTTTTAAGATATTTAGAGTAATGTGGGAGAAGAAATCTTACTATGTAAATTTGCTTACCCCACTGGTAGATTTTTATTTTTATTTTTTGCAAAACAAATTAACCAACCTCAAAACACAACAGTAAACTGGTTACAGTACCTCAGTCTGAGTGAATACAAAAACAGAGACCTTCTGCTTGAAGAGGCAATATGTGCCAACTGACCACCTCTTATACTGCCTATATGTGAGCGAAACTTAAGAACATTCACATGAGGTTATCAAATATCTTAACTACTTTGATTTTTTTTTATTTGCTGTTGTGTTTTGTGTAGGTTCCGCTACACCTTTCTCACTTTGAAACTCACCCAGTTCACAGGCTGCTCCTGTCCATCCGCTGGGGCATGAACAGCGGCCGCTGATGTGGCCGCATGACCCACCGTTCTGGCACAGGCACTGCTGTCTGCAGTCCACTCCAAATAAACCCTCCGGGCATTCTGTGAGAGTACAAGCCAAAATGACTGCAACCTTTTAACAATTTCTTTGATACACAAGAGACTGCCTGCCTCAAATGCACACACTATTTAGTGCTGTACACTCACATTGCTGAAACCCATTACTCACTTTGGGAGCAATTTAGTCCTGTCCACCCCGCTGTACATACACACTGACCAGTAGCTGCATGGCAGCTCACACTGTTCAGGCAAGCACAGGCCTGGGAACAGTCATCACCATAGAAACCGACAGGACAGGCTGTGGAGAGATAACAAAAATACCTCACTTTAACAATGAAGAAAAGTTAGTGGAAAAAGCATGCAAATAATATACAATTTGGATAGTTTTTAGCAACATTACCCATGAGTAAGGCCATTTTAAAAGGTGCTGGGTGTAAGGGTAAGTATTAATGCTAACTAGTTCCTAAATGTATTAATTCATTAAGTTGGCATGAAAAGTTGGCTTACTGTTCTTCAGAAGGTGGCAGTAGATTTAAGGTAGCACTGAATTTAAGGTGGTGGTGAACTTAAGGTGGCAGTGCATTTAAGGTAGCAACGAAATTTGAATGAACTTGAATAGCAACTGCCTAACAGCATCTAAGCCACACTTTAACAAAGACTGTCTCTTTTTTTACATTTTAACGTAATAAACTGGCTTTTTCAAGCCAACTTAAAGCTCATTCACAAACTTTCCCTTTCTGGTTAGTACTGCTCTTTTAACCCTCACATGTCACCCAAGACATGTATGCCTTAAAACATTATTTCTTATATTTAAATTTTATTATTTCTCACTCTGAGCTCCTGGAACAAGCAAAGAAATTCTGTAGGTAGAAGAGGTAATATTTAATTATGATTGGAATTTAATGAAGTTACTGCTGTGTGTAGTCTTGTTTTGCTGAAAGAAAAAATATCCTTTACATTCTTGCCATGCTTCTGTCATTTATTCCCATCAATATGAATAGAAAATAATTGGACATGCAGACTAAAACCTGTCAAATGTGTACCAGTATGTACACTGAAGGTAAATGTAATTCATTATGTAACTATTTATTATGTAATTAAAGTAACACCTTTGGCAATAACCTAGTAGACTTCAAAGGATTATGGTCATTCTTGGAGTCAGAGCAGAACCGTGTGCTTACTCTGGTTGCAGTTTGGACCCAGCCAGCCTGCCGGACAAGTGCATTCTCCAGAGAGGTGATTACAGCGTCCGCCATTCAGACATGCACACTTCTGCTGGCAGTCCAGCCCATAGAAACCCTGTGGACAGGCTGACAGAACATACAGGCACAACACAAGGACAAAACATTGTTAATGATCTTTCAGTTTCCGGGGTTATTTGGTATTAGATTACAGTTTACATGTAGGTTAAGCTTGAACTGACTCACGTTTTTCACAGAATGTTCCAGTCCAGCCCACCTTACAGGTACAGGCTCCGCTCACGTGGTCACATAATGCTTCATTGTCACATTGGCAGTGATGCCGACAGCCCGGTCCAAAAAAGCCAGCAGGGCATTCTGGGACAGAGAAAAAGATGAGTCAGAAGTTAGATGAGATTAGATGTTTCGGGTCAGGGCTGCACACGTGTTCTACACAAAGACAGCACTGCTGTGGGTAATCTGAATCCAAATTAATACCAGCATCCCTGAACATCTGCAGTATTCAAACTAAATCAAAATCCAATTCATTATCTCTTCTTTTTATAATACATGCTTGAGGTAGTTTTGATAAACTGATCATGTCCTTCTGTTCCTTATTCTGGTATTAGTAGAAAAGACTTTGAACAGCTGCTACTTTAAGAGACCAGGTGATGACGTGCATCTTTTATTTACTAAGCGAGGAGGTTAAACTAGCCATTCGTCTCACAACAGCACAAACCAGCGGGACAGTCAGCAGCCTCGGTATTTTACAGAACTGAAATGTTGGAGTGAAAAATACCTGTATCTCTGCATTCCAACTAATTTTACTTTTCGGGTATCAGCAAGAGTTAGTGAACTGATCTCGTTACCCGCGAGGAAGGAAAACAACAAAAAGCAGCCAAAATAAAAGGCACTTTAACTGAAATGAACATAGAGTTGGCTTTCTCTGTAGCAGCACAAAATTTTAGCAGCAAGTACAGGAATACATCTGAAAATGTTTCAATATGCAAAAGATCTGATGGAAATTGGTAGAGTTCATGGTGGATGAGTAACACAGGCTGCCTCTTCAGATATGAGCTAAAACTACAAATACAGTTTTAAAACTACAACACTGCTGATGAGGACTTACAGGAGGGGGTTTCAAACCAAAAGTAAAGGCTGAGCCGCATAACTGAAGCATGTTCTACCCTGGCAGTCTATCGACTTTATTACTCTACTTCAATTGTAAACAAAAAAATACAGCTTAACAGATGAGCGTCTTAGTTCTACATTTCCCCAAATCCAAATTCAGTCCATGGCATAGTGACATGGTCGGAAAACGTGCAGCTCCCATGTTTTTCTTAAAAAGAAAAAAAAATCCCCAAAAAACTACCCGCACATCACACGTGACCTACGTGAGAAACATTTGCATAGTATCAAGGCCAAGGCATTAACACTTGTGTGTTGTTGATGTGTGTGTTACTCAGTGGTCTTATTATTGTTTTTTTTAATCAATACAGCCATAACAGTTTATGTAAAAATACCAGATGTTTAAAATATCACAAGTGGTCAGTGCAGCAGCTGTAGCCAGGCAGCAGCCTGTCCATGTTGTCCACCCACACACACACACACACACACACACACACACACATACATAAACACATACACACACAGACACACACACTAACAGCAGGCCATGTTGGAGAAGAACAGAGTGACTTGTATTCCCGCAGGTTCACCCCAACACCACATGTGAACAGTGTGAAGACACTGAAAATGTGTTATTTTATATGTTCTTCACAGAAAATGAGCAACGGCCAAGAAATCTGAGGTTGAAATAATGAAAAATCATCTAATCTAATTCTCTTGGTAAATTTGAAAATGGGTCCCACAGACCTGAACACCACACAAGCGTTAAGATAAAGCCTATGGATTAACAACAGATCAAACCATACACATTTGTGTACATTCGGGATATAGAGTTTAGCTATAGTAGTTATCCTAATAAACACTTGCGCACATTTAGGTAGTTGTTTTGAAGTGGCATAGTGTATTATGCATGATTTCTCTCAAATACAAGCAAAACCATTAAAACATAAAAGCACCATTTCCTTGAACTGTTGGCCGCCTTCCTGTGTGTTTTCTTTAGATGTCAAAATTCTATTCAGACTTAAAACTGAGCATTGGGGAATGTTCATAATAATTATCAATGCTTAAATTATATCAATATAATAAATGTCAAATATATGAAGATACGAAACAAATTATGTGGTGCTAATATTTCTTTCAGCCCTTCTACACAGTATCAAATGTATCAAAGCTCACTGACTTTGCTCACAGCGAACTCCTGTAAAGCCAGGTTCACAGTTACACTGGCCTGTCACAGCATCACAGCTACCATCACTGTTCTTGCAGTCACACACTCTCGCACATTCGGGTCCCCAGTGTCCTGTGGCGCATGCTGTCAGGAGACACACATACACACAAAAAGAAACATTAAAGAACGCTTTCATGCCAAAAAGCTGACGCATCATATTGTTCTTGCAGCAAGTGAATAAATTCCCTTAGGAATGGCTGTGGCTTTACAAAATATGTGCACAGTGTGTCAGAACTTGAGTCATCCTGTCCTAAATTCTGTTAGGGTGATTTCATTGCTAATGTACTGCGATGGTCAGACAGAACGGTGAGTTAACTTTTCCCAAAAACAACTTGGTTATGAGTAAGAGGTAAAAAATTAATACAAAATAAATAATAGCTGTAAGTACTGAGCTGTACGTAACACATGTAATATTGACTACCAAATGTGTCTGCTGTACCTTTCTTGCAGTTGTGTCCAGTCCAGCCTGCAGCGCAGGTGCAGCGGCCAGTTATAGGGTGACATCGGCCACTGTTCTCACACACACACTTCAGCTGGCAGCCCTGGCCGAAACGACCAGTGGGACATACTGGACACACATACACACATATACAATAACATATCATACAAAAAACCCTGTCAGATAAGGATTACACTGGTCTTTCACGTTTCGGGGGCAGTCATAGGCTGGAGGTTAAGGAACCAGCCTTGTGACCGCAAGGTCACTGCTTTGATTCCCTGAGCCGACAGTACGTGACTGAAGCGCCCTTGAGCAAGGCACCTAACCCCCAACTGCTCCCCGGGTGCTGTGGATAGGGCTGCCCACCACACCGGGCAAGTGTGCTCACTGCCCCCTAGTGTGTGTGTTCACTCGTGTGTATGTGATGTTTCACTGCACGGATGGGTTTAATGCGGAGGTGAAATTTCCCCCTTGTGGGACTAATGAGGGTCACTTAATCTTAATCTTTGTCCATTTTAGCCCCCTAGTAGCCATTCCGCCAGAGAAATGGATACTGACTTAGATATTCTGAATTAATTTGATCAAATAAATTATTTCTCCCTCTAACTCTGATTGACTAAGAAACTGTTGTCTCTCTGTGTATGAAATGTTGTGATTCTAAAATGAGCTGCTAACAAGCAATGATGGGCAAAAGGGGAGGAGTGAAAACCACCTGCTGTGAAGTTACATCTCTCCTTAAAGCCGGCCATTCTGATATAAAAAGAACACTGCAGCTTTCTTCATAACAAAAAACTGTGTACAACTGCCACAATAAAAAAGTCGTTCAACACACACACAAAAAACATTCTTACAAAGGCTGACTTGCTTTCTTACCTATGAAGATGAAAATTTAGCTCGCTTCTGGTTTTGTAGATCAGGCACATTTCGATTAAAATGTATTCCAGCAACATTTAAAAAAAACGCATAGCGCAAAAACCGCAGGACCTCTGAATCAGGTGGAAATTACGTTTTATGGCTACTGTGAAAAGAGTACATTGTCCAAGTAGAACACAAATTCCAGGATGACAACTGTAGGGTGTCCGTATGTGACTGATTCAACAGATATGATGAAACACTGGGACAGTTTGACTGACCTCAATCCTAATTCTCAATTTGGGACAGTGGACGAATTGCCGAAATAGACACACGCGAACTCTGGCTGAAACGTGTGTGCAGTGGGCTAAAAAGACAGGAACTCAAGAGAATCTCAAGAGACTGGTGCAATCCTTACATGACAATATTAATACAGTTATTAAAACTTGCACTTGACTATTATTTTTTGTCCATGAAGCTCTTTTTGATGGTTTGTCCAAAAATGTACACAGTTTCCCCCCCAATACCCCGATCGTAGTCAGTCAGCCAAGATGTGGATCAGTCTGGAGTTCCTTAGTTTTTCATGGTGCTATGAGTAGCAAACAAGGAAGCTTATAGCCACCTGAGTGAACTGAATTCTTACTAACATACATCTAAAACTTTATGACATACTGTAATCCAAAAAAAGGATAATAGTATGTTGCACAGCTTAAACTGGAATCTGGAAGCCTGTATTTTACCTTTACCTTAGTCCATTCTTATAGATAACAGTATGTAATACAGAAACCACCAAGGCAACTCTACTTAAACTACTTTGCGGACTGGTTTACTTTTATTTCCGATACATGGTTGTATGTAATTCTATGTTTATGTTTGTTTTTTTAATGTTTTATATATTTATATATATATATATATATATTTATATATGTTTTACCCATGTGGGAATAATCAAAGTTGAACTGAACTAAATTGAACTGAATTAAACTGAACTGAACTGAGACAACAAATCTGTCTTGGCTGATGTACTACACTGGGGTAACTTCATGCCCTTGGAGAAGCCGAGTACAAGATGGAAAAGCAGGGATTACATTGTTGTACTCACAGTTTTGGCAGAGTCTGCCCATGTACCCAGGTAGACATAAGCAGGTGCCGTTGTGTTTATCACATATTGCTCCATTTTCACATGCTGGACATGTTTCCTTACAGTTCACTCCCCAATGCCCTGCAGGACATTCTGAGGAAGAAAGAGAGAGTGACAGAGAGATGTAGTACACACTGATGAGCCAAAACATTTTGGACCAATCAAATAACACTGATTATCTCAGAACAACAGCGCATGTCAAAATCTGGGCTATATTAGATGGTAAGTGAACAGTCAGTTGTTGTAGCCGACATGTTGAATGTGGGAGAAATGAGCAAGCATAGTGATGTAAGCAACACTTGAGACGGGGCAGTTCGTTATGGCCAGATGACATTTAAAACACCTCCAAAACAGCAAGGCTTTTGGGGTGGTCCTGGTCAGAAGTGGTCCAAGGAGGAACAAACCATGAAACGGGGTGATGGGTGCACAAGGCTCATCGATACACAAGTGAAACAATGGTTATCCTGTCTGGTTCATACTGACAGAAGGGTTACTGTCACAGAAACTTTTTATGATGGTTAAAGGAAGAATGCGCCACAACACACACTGCATCACACCCAGCTGTGGATGCTTGTTGCTACGTCAGAGTAACGAACTCCGCTCACTCGCAGCACAGCCAGCAGTTTGTTCTCAAGCTTCTTACACTAAATTCCCAAACTGTCATCACCACTGATCAGCTTTTCAGTCGGCGGCCATGACAGAAGAACACGTACATAACCTGGAATTAGCCAGAAATGAACCGAACACCATTCGCCGAACTTGTAGTCTCACCTTCAGAGTCTGACCAAATCAGACTGAGCCATAAAACTGCCGCAATATCAAGTTTAGCTCAGTTTTGTCTTTTTTTTTTCAATATTAATGTTGTTTTGTTCCAGCCAGTCTGTAAAGCATCTTACAGCCCAATTTGTTTGGCGAATGGTACTGAGTTCATTTCTGGCTGATTCCAGGTTGTTTAGCTGTTCTTCTGTCACAGCTGCCGACTGAAAAGCTGCTCAGTGGTGATGACAGTTTGTGAATTTAGTGTCGTCTCATCTTCAGAGTCTGACCAAATCGGCTGTCGGTCAAATGTGATCTTAAAAGTGTCCATTATCTGTTTGTGCAATATAAGAAGTAAGAACGTTCAAATGGCTTGAGTGTCTCCTACAGCTGTCAAAGTCGTTGCTTTGCAACGGCGTCTCAGCGAAGTGATGCAGTGTTTCTGAAAAAAAATGCTGTTATGGTGAAATAACAGCACAGTTAGAACACTTATCAACCAATCAGCTTGTGTGGCCAGAACTAACTGTTGTATAATGTACATATAACGGCATACATTAAAATCAAGGGTATTAAAAGAGAGTTTGTCCCCCCTTTGCTGCGGTAACAGCCTCTACTCTCCTGAGAAGGCTTTACATGAGATGTGTGAACACTGGAGTGATGTTCTGACTGCATTCAGCATTACTGGTGACTACAGGTGAGGTTGGGTGATTAGTTCCGGATCACAAACACCACTCCAACACATCTCCAAGAACTGGATGGTGCTCTATCTCTTGTTTTTTTTTTTTAATTTTGTCACTATTTTTATTGAAATATAAATATTGCTTTGTTCTATGCAATACAAGCTTACCTTTCTCACACCGGCTCCCCATCACTCCAGCAGGACATTTGCATTTGCCGGTCACTTTGTCACACGGGGCCCCTGAACAGTCACATGACTGAGAGCAGCCAATCCCAAACTCCCCATCTGAACAATCTATAAGAGCAACAACAGACAGCGTTAGACAGACAGCAGCACACAGTACTACATATAAAGTACATATGCAGACCAAAAGGCACTAAACTAACCCTGATCACAGTTTTCCCCCTTCTTGCCAGCTGGACACTGCCGCTGGCATGCCCCAGTCACAGGATCACATGTCGAGCCAGACGGGCAGGAACACTGCTTCTCACAGCCTTGACCATAGAAGCCTCCATCACACTCTACAGACAGAAATCATACCAACATGAACCAAATACCACAGAAACTATTAAAAGGACTGCTTCAATGAAAAACCCTCAAGTTTGCTTCTTTAGTTTTGCATTAGAGTTAAAAGGCTAAAATGACAAGAACTGGAAGTCACCATTAACCCTTTGCCACTACAAAACAATGTTTTTTAGAGAATTGTTCCCTCAGTCAACAGCATCCAAAGACCCAAAGAAAATATGTGATCATATTACACCACAATACATGGCCATCAAAAGTTTGGGGACATCTAGTTGTCTTTTTAAATGTTCCAAATCATGTCTGATTTTCACATAAAGCAACTATGTGCCAATCCTTTGGGTATGTTTAGCTTTAACACTCATCAAAATTCATCAAAGTATCTTCCTTCGTATGAAAAGCTGCTTTTGCTTAATTAATGATATTTGACAGTTCTTTTCCAAACTATTGTTAAAAGCACATACTGAAACAAAAATTGGCCCAAAGGCAGTTAAAAGAGTAACAACACAACCCTGGTTTCAGATAACTCCACCCCATTTCTAGCATTAGCACACTGGAGAAAATGAACTGACCACAGTAATAATTATAGTTTGATTATAGTTTGAAATGAAATGTAAAAAATTCAACAAGACTGTTATTTATATATATATATATATATATATATATATATTTATATATATATATATGAAAAAATGTTATTACTGTTTAAACACTGGAAAGCTTTGAGTGCTGATGAGTGCTGACATCACAACAATAGGATACAATGCATAGCCTTTGGCTTTATTCACAAGGTAGAGCTTTTGTTATTTGTTTTTATTCTTCTGTCCTTCTGTCATGTAGTTTGTATTTGAAAATTAATCCCTATTAATAAGTTATTACAAAAAGAATTCATTAAAAATCCTTTAGAAAAACTAGGTGTCCCCAGACTTTGATGGGTTGTGAAATTAAAACATCTCATTTATTCATCCTGTTCACATTTGTAATATGAAGACTTTTAAGGGCCTCTGGGGAATTCTGACCTTCTTCACATTTGTCGCCCTGGTAACCAGGCTTGCAGATGCAATTGCCGTGTCGACGGTGACATTCTAGTGTGTTTTGCTGCACACACTTACACTCCTCAGAGCAGCCTGGTCCAAACACCCACCTAGGACATGCTGCTCAACACAGAAGCAAAATATTAGTGAAAAAGAAAATATTTAAACCACAAGAAGGAAGTTAAAGAAGTTACAGTTAACTAATCCAGTATCTTACATGCACTGTCAAAATGTCACATACACATACACACACACACACACACACACACACACGCACAATATCTAAGCTGCTTATCTTCCTGTGTAACTCTTTTGTCTCCCTGTCAGAGACTGATGTTAAGAGTGATTGTCAGACTCACGCAGGTGGCAAAATCGCCCGTAGAGTCCCGGGTCACACAGACAGGCTCCATATGTGCGGTGACAGCGGCCGTTGTTGGCACAGTTACATTTCTTATTGCAGTGCTTTCCATACAGGCCCTTTGGACAGCCTGCGGACAACACATACATTCTGTCAACACTCATTCATACTACATTCTTTTCTTCACAGTACATTAGACTTCATATACAATATACGGACAAAAAATACTTTGTTAGCTTACTGGGGTAAAATAAAAAATAAAAACGGTGGCGATTTAACGTTAGGATCGATTACTGAGTGTGCTCATTAATCATGACAGTGTACTCATTTTTATGCCAGTAGAAAGTTTTCAGGCAATTTTCAAACGTAAAAGTCCAAAAAAGCTGCCTGTATTCCACTACTCTGAATAATTCCTCCAGTGAGGTTCATGTATTCAGCGTATTTTTAAAAATAATCAAGCACTGAATTCTTTAAGGTGAAATTGATGGTCATTGTGAGGTCTGACCTTTACTGTAGCTTACAGTACTAAGTATCAGGTAGTTTCAGTGTCATACAGGTTTGTTTAGTCTTTCAGAAGCATTTAGAAGCTTTTGGACTGACCATCCTGGCAGAGGTCTCCACTGACGCCTAGCGGACAGCGACAGCTCCCAGTCACGGGATCACAAACACCTCCGTTCTTACATTTACAGCTGAACGAGCAGTTCTGTCCAAACCAGCCCTCAGGACACGCTGCATCATGGATGTAAGACGCAAAACGGACATAAGACACATCTTCAGCAAAGTTGTTTTCAAACTTATGTATGTGGAATTTTGAGCTGAATTCTTTCTCAGAAGCTCACTCTGGTTGCAGATGATTCCTGTCCATCCGTCTGGGCAGTCACAGCCACTTCTACGGGCATTACACACACCTCCATTTACACAGTCTTCACAACTCAAACTGCAGTCAAAGCCAAAGGAGTCATTCAGACACACTAAAAAAGAGAGAGAGAGAATGTAACATCATTTTTGAGGCGATGAAGTCAAACCAGTACATCACTGCAGGTTCAACACAAGCTAAATAAGGACTGTTTTCCTCCCCTCTTGAGAATGATCAACTCATACATAAAGGTTTTAGCATATCAAATAATTGCAAAACTTTATTCCACACTTCATTTAATGCACAATTTATGTTTATTTTCTAAATTTAACATTTTGGGAAAAAGTGCCCTGTGCAAAAGTTATGGCAAACTGTATATTTTAAACTGCACTAAAGTTTGCAGAACAATGCCAAATATAAGTTTGTTGTGTTGACTTATTTTCAACAAAATGTATAATTTAACCAAGGATGTCTAAACTTTTACATACAACTGTAGGTGAACTGAAGGAAATGCCATAAAAACCACATCTAACCAAATTTCTCAGTCAGTGTGCTCTCCGCTCGCAGCTCGCCAGTGTCCTCGTCGTAGTCATCATAGCGCTCCAGAGGCTCGTACTCCTGTAGGACGGCCAGCTGTGGTCTGGGCCTCTCCACCACTTGACCGCTGTTCAGGGCTTCAACTGCTCCTTCTAGCACTGACAACACACACAAACACATGCAGACTTACAGACTGTTACATACTGCTGACGAAACTGCCCAACAATGCCAAAGATGTAAAGTAGAGATGGCGCGATCCGTTACCAGGCATCGGGCCCATATCAGCAGGATCAGATATTGGAGGAAAAAAGAATGAATCCTATCCAATCCTTTAAGAGATCCATCCTGAAACAGCGCACATTCACACTGTGTTTGTGTGAATGTTTGAGCAGTTTGAGCAGAATAAATGACTTTTAGATGGTCACCTTAAATGAAGTGCTGCATTAAACCGTTTACTAGTGAAAGCTCAGTCACTTTAAAGATGTATTGGATCAGCATCAGTATAGTCTGATACTGCAGGCTTAAATATCAGTATCGGTATCATGTCATCTCCAACACAAAGCACCTCATGAATTATTCAATTAATCTGTCTGTATGCCTGTCAGTCAGTCACTCACTCACATTTGGTAGCCAGCTAGCTATGCATGCAGATATATATATTTCGCTGTTGCTGGAAGAAAACCTCGTATCTCCAAAATGGTAATTTCACAGGAGAAGGAAAAAACCTACTTTACTTTTAATGTAAGTCAATGGAACCAGACTTTTTTCCAAGTTATTTTTGGGCCGTTTCTTTTAGTCCATTCCTCCTGAAATTCACACACAATATAAAGAGCAACAGGCATTTTCAAATTATGTCAAAAACTATAAAACTACAAAAATGGATATACAAGGTTTTCTTCTGAGAGCAGCAATATGTACGTATATATATATATATATATATATATATATATATATATATATATATATATTTCTTTCAGTATATGTACATCTTTGCATTTATTTCATTTATAATTACGATGCACCACATTATTGTTGTAACTCTTCACCTAAGAATTTCAGGCTTTTGCACTTTTACACAAACTGCACATTGTAAAATGCAGGAACAGGATATTCTGTTTACATGGCTGATGGAAATAAGAGGCAAAGACTGCGACATCGTCAAAATACTCCCTATCAGTTTAACCCTAACAACTTATTCAAAAACAACACTTCAAAGCATGCGAAGGGTTAACTACTTCACGACCAGAAAGAAACCGTCAGTAGAAATGTAGATACAGCACGTGATAAGTGAACATGTGAGATTGACAATGATGACATCACACAGCCAAGTCTCCAGTGTAGAATTTACTAGAGCGTTCATTCGTATCCAGCTGGACTTTAATTAGCACTGCGTCAAAGCAAAATACTTCATCCACTGTCCAGCTGGTCCATTTGCTGGCAGGGAGCTAATTCTGACTCACAGATGCAGGAGCGGCGGTCCTCGGCCAGGCGGTGACCCCGTCTGCAGTAACACTGGAAGGATCCAGCGCTGTTCTGGCACGTGTGATCACAGCCTCCGTTCTCAGCCAGACACTCGTCTATATCTGCAATCGCAGTTTAACCCATCAGGCCTCATCATACAGGCACAAAACATTCATTAATATTAATAAATGTTTATGCATTATTATATAGACTCCATGGAAACATATTAGGGGTATAAATCTCTGATTCTGCAACCATCTGATTTTTTAATGATTCTTTAGAAAGCTGTTGTAACGTAGGGTTTGAAGCCTTTACAACTGTAAATAAAATACAAATATATCTTTTAGTGATTTCTGATATTCTTTAAATTAATTCAAAAATCAATGGAATGTGTTTGTGCAGCCGTAAAAATACGTTTTAAAAATATAATATTCTGAGAAATATAAATACCAAGAATACAGACAATAGACAAAAATACAATTTGACACAAAATGAATTTATTATCTCATTCAGAAATTAAAATCTGAGTGTTGTGTCTGAATGCAACACACCGTCACAGCTGCATCCATCAGCGTTGAGCCTGTAGCCAGCAGCACAGTAGCACTCATAGCCCCCTGGGTAGTTTGTGCAGTCCTGTTCACAACAAGAGCTTCCATCCACGCACTCATCTACATCTGACACACAAACACAAAGGATTACAGTTCAGTTCAAAAAGCAATTAACCCAAAAGGAATTCAGTCAGTTCAAGGTTATCAGGCTGTTAGCCGGCTGTACTGCTTTACCAATGCAAGTCTTCAGGTCATCATCGAGCTGGTAGCCCTGATTGCAGCTGCACACCGGGCCGTTGGTGGAGTGCTGACAGTGGTGTGAGCAGCCGCCGTTATTCACCTCACAGCTGTTCACGATCTCCATCTCAATCCCTGTTACACACAGAGGGACACACAACAATACAAGGACCAATAAACTGGTACGCAATGCCTCAAAGTCTCTGTGACAGGGAGAACATGAAAGTTCAGTTCAAAAGTACAGTACTGTGCAAGAGTCAGAGACCACTCTTTACTTATTTAATTTCCAGTCAAACAGTACAATTATACATTTTCAGGAGATATTTCTGAGAGGTTTAGATACAAGATAATCCTGCATAAGGAAGGGGAAAGTCAAAACAAAATAAGTAAAAAAAAAACAAAAAACAGGAGTTTCTAAAACTGGGGTTTAAAAAATGATTGGAAGATACAGAGAAAAAGGGACTCCTAACAACCATGCAAGACCTGGTAGACACCAAAACCGTCCCTATCAGATAAACAGCACTTAAAGCTTTATCTTTAAGAGAGAGGACAAAATCAAGCTGCCTCAGATATGGAAAAAAAATCCACAGGTGTTTGTGTCCATCCTTCCACTGTCAGAATACAAAATCGACATTACTGAGAAAAGGAAATCGACAAAAGAGAAGAACATTTACAGCCTGCTGGTGTTCTCCGAACAATGGACTGTCCATCCCAGACTCTAGACCTCAGCATTATTGAATGTGTGATTAATTGGATCGTAAAAAGCAAAAAATGCAACCAACTTCTAAGACTGAACTTTAGAGATGTGGAAAATTAGCCCTGCAATATTTCTTTAAAACTGAAAGCAAGTCTCCCAAAAAGAATGGAAACTCTTAAAAAGGCAGAGTGAACACACTAAATACTGAAAAAATATAGTAAATTGTTGAGGTTTCTGTGTAATTTTCTGTTTAAAATGGTTTCTCTTTTTTCCTGCACATAATGGCCATTTTGAATGGAAATTAAATATCTGAATAGGTGGTCTGTATGTTTCTCAAAAAAATACCTCTAAAGCAAAATTTGTGCTGTATATAAAATATCTGCAATGCATGAAACACAAAAGCCTGATAAAAAACAGCCATGAAATAAACATATGACACATATACTGTGCAGAATCATAGACTGTAAACTCACGATAGCACTGTTTGCCATCTGCTCCCAGCTCATAGGCAGCGTTACACACACACACAAAGGAACCTCTGGTGTTACGGCAGCCATGGGCGCACTCCGTCTGACCTGCCTGACACTCGTCAATGTCTGACACACACACACAAACACACACACACACACAAACACACACACACAGAAACAGACACACGCGACAATTTAGCTTAGGCAACCGAAATGCCACTAGCAGCTTTAATCATTTAATCATTAATTAATAGAATATCTAATTGTGATTTTTCTGACCAATATTGCGATTTAAATTGTGATTATATAAAATAAATTGAGGTCCAGGCCAGTTTTTGGCCAAGAGGACTAGCACATCCACTTTTTCTGGCTTGAAGCTTGATGGCTAAACATAGTGTGTCAGTTAGTTGCGGTTGTGATGTCACTGCATGGGTGTTTGGCTGCATCTGATTGGTCTAATTCATCTATAGGCAGTTCACAAGCTTAGTGTTATTAGGTTAAATATCCCCTCTTAAAATGTAAGACAACATGTATGCTATACAAACTGTAGCTCTTGCGATTTAAAAACTACACTCTGTCAAACTGAAATTTCAATATTTTAAACAATTAATTTTTAACCCTATAAATTAAATGAATGGTTGTGAGCTCAGAGATTACACCACTACAGCTACACAGGCACTGATCTAACTTTTTCTTTCCCGAATCCCATTCCGAACTCATTCAACTACCGATCTGTTGCCAGTGCTTTAAGACACTCATGTTTCACAGAAAGTTCAAAGTACATATACATAGTAAACATAAATAAAACAGTAAAAGCTATTATACTGTACTAGAAGGTTAATAAAACTGTACTGTTATAATTTTATAATAACCGCATCTAAGAAACGGTATGAAGTGTAAACCGATCACAACTAAACAATATCCAATTTGTTTAAGTATCACTGCTGATATCGATCGGGTCAGTGCATCACCACACATAGCAGTCCTAAACTTGCATCATACCACTACCACCAGTGCCACTCCCTTTACCTTCACAGGTTTTGCCGTCCTCAGCCAATGTGTAGCCCGGACCGCAGTCACAGTGGGCCTTCCCTCCATCACTGCGACAAACCTGAGAACAGCCTCCATTCCTGACAGCACACGGGTCAGCCACTGGAGAGAAGAAAACACAGAGAATGTTAGCAAAAACCCATATGAAGAATATCCAGAGGGACTGGACAATAAATATGCATTCAGATGAGCTATGCATTAAAGCACAGGTCAGCGCTTTTCAGCTGTGAATTAGACATACAATGAAACTAGATCAGATGTATGCTTAACATGACTTACAAGCTGAAAATATGTCAATATTAATTCCCACTGCATTGTGAGGCAACGAGGTCTGTATATGCCAAATAAGTAGAAATGTGTGACATTTAAATTAAGTGCACAATCAATATTTTAACCTGTGTGTGGTGTTGGGGTCTGTGGGACCCATTTTCAAGGTTTACCAAAAGAACAAATGATGCGATTTATAATTATTTCAACCTCAGATTCTTTGGCCTTTGCTCATTTTCTGTGAAGAACATATAAAATAACACATTTTCAGTGTCTTCACACTGTTCACCCCCTACACACTTATAAGTGTGGAGGTGCTGTGTCCCTTCACTCTGTTCTCCTCCTACATGGCCTGCTGTTAGTGTGTGTGTGTGTGTGTGTGTGTGTCTGTGTGTATGTGTTTATGTATGTGTGAGGGTAGACCACATGGACAGGCTGCTGACTGGCTACAGCTGCTAAAGAAGAACCCTACGCTGGACACTTTAAACATTTGGTAAGTTTTACATAAATTGTTACGGCTGTATTGATTTAAAAAACAATAATGTGGTGGGTCCACCAGACTGAGTAACAAACACATCAGCACCACACAGGGATTAAGGGTATCAAGATTTGACATTAGAGTTGGATTTTGTGCTTTACAAAAAAGATCTTATATTTGCTTCCTAGTGCCTCTCAGACCAAATATCTTCTGTTGTAAAATTTCTTACTAGCCTTGATATTGTAAGAAGACATTACCATATTCTCTGTTGCTGAGTTTGGTTCTATACTGACTGGGCACTACAGTATTAAAATGTGAGTTAGGAGAACTTTGGACCTCAAAAAAATGCTGTGAAATCAGTTACCTTAACATTTTAAGTCAACTGGACAGTAATTTTTTGACAGTGAAGGAAATGCATCAAAACTATTTTCTGTGATAATCGATTGTACAATTCAGATACAGGGTAAAGGGAAAAGACTGGAAAATGCTAGAGTATTCCTCCAAGTTTCACTCATGAACGCTGCGCATTCCCCCATTTGAATTACAATAACAGAGCAGCAGCACACTGAAATGAAACTCAGTCTAACACAACATATTCTCATTCCTTATTTGCTCATAGCACAGGCATTTCTCATATTACAGTCATTATACTGGCAGTTCACAAATCAAAACTGAGCAGGCTGTGTTTGACTCCTGCTATCACAGAACACAATAATGTCAGCTTCTGTAAGTGTGAGGTGACATGCTGATGGGAATTTATAACGTCAGTGGTGAGGACATGGCCTTGAGAGCGGACACTCACAGGTGCAGTGCTTGCCGTCCTCGGCAAGTGTGTAGTTGGGTCGACAGCGGCACTGGAAGTGAGCTGCTGTCTGCTGGACACAATAGTGCTCACATCCTCCATTACCAACACTGCAGGAGTGGACAGCTACAAACATACATACTGAGTGGTCAGTTTATTAGGTACACTTTGTATCTACGTTCATTTTATCAGAAACAACTACCGTATACAGCGAGTGCACTCTGTAATTTCACAACTGTTGCTGAACAATTTATCAGTCATGCTGCAGGATTCTTGATTATAATAAGAACATTACACACACACACACACACATATATATATATATATATATATGTGTGTGTGTGTGTTTATTTATATACATATACAGCTACATAATTTAAATAATAAATAAACTACTAACAAAAGAAATCATGTTTGTAAAACACCCCAAACAGAAACCAAATGCTCAACCTGAGCTCTGACCTGCAAATCAACCAGTGAAAGTTTCTGTAAGACACAACGGGAAACCTGACTTCCCCTCAAATTTCATCATAGTACAGCACTGGAATGGTTAACACTGCATCTGTATTGCTTGTAACTCACACAACACATTTAAATACTCACACAAAGTATTTAAAATTAATGGACTGTATTGCTTTACAATGCAGATGAAATTTGAATAGGGCCTAACTTATCCCCACATCCAATCAGTTATAAAAACTGCCACTGGCATACATTTCAGTCACTACTATTGAGAGAAGGCAATAGAAGACCATTGCCCCGCCCACACCCATCTTATTACTGATGTACTGGCTGTGTGTTTGGGCCTAACACGGAACTGATTATCCAGTTCACTCTGAACTACTGACTGGGTTCAGTAATAGCAGAAAAATTGGAATGGCACATGACCTGTTCTGCAAAGCCTAGAAAGGTAAGCAGGTTTTAAAAATGTATATGATGAGTATGTATGCTTTCAATATTTTTGCTATTCATTTGCCTTTCTAATAGCATGGGATCATGGGTCCTATCATATACAACACATTAAAAAATGTTATCACTCTGAAAACATTGATGAGTTTGTGTGAGCGCTGCAAGTTATGGAAATAAGATTTACATACAAATGACGTAACAACTATTTTATTGAAAATATATTTTCTTTATCTGGGTGTTGCTGGACAAGAATACTAAAATTACTGCTTAGTAATGATAAGATAAACACATCTTTTTAAAAGACCAACAATGCCATTCAGTAACAACTTAAATGCTAATCTTTAATTTTTTACACTTGCAGTTGTTTTTCATGCATTTTAGTGGGTTTTGAAAATGTTTTGGCTCCAAACTCTGGCTCAGCCATTGGCTCAATAAAACTCAGGTTTTCATTGTCTTTTGGAAAATATTGTGAATAAACTAAAAATAGAGTTCTGAATGTGGTCATTTTCCTTTATTTGTAAAAATAAAAATACTTCTTACACTTCATTGTTGTTTAACACTGATTACAGATCTGATTATCCAGCCTCCTAGAGCAGCACTGTGGTCAGAAGCCATAGAACTGGACACCACTGTTACCAAGTCCAGTTCTCATTTCTTAATTATTCACCTCAGCTGAGATTTAAAAAAAAACTTTCTTGGGTAATAACATGATCCTAACTTTTCAAAAAGGCTGAAGTTCAGAAACAGACCCAACACAAACCGATTCAGGGACCTGTACGAAATACCTCCAGTCCTGTATCTCTCTATTACAGCAATTACAGACTCATCTCCTGTGATTCTGCAGCTGAATAACCACATAAAGTACAATGGAGGGTCACACATCTGATTCAATGACCACATAATGATGCGGCTCAGACTGTGCTAGACACAAATCTTCCTTCCCATGCTCTCTTCCTGTCTCTCTGGAGGAAGATTACAGGAAGTGAAATTGTTAATAATTGCACTGACATTTTGTGTCTAACACAGGTGTGGATTGCAACAAAAACATGTTTTTGATACACCCTCAGAGTGAGAAGGTGGTTAATTTCGTGAACTTTCTACCAAATTAGACACTTTATAACATTTTTGCACCCCATCCATGACAGCATTGTGTCCTCCTAATTTAGATGTAGGTTTCTAAGTTATAAATACAGATAATAAACTAAGTCCAACTACACTATTGGGCTGATTTATCAGTGTTTTATCAATTTAAGGGAAAGCACTGCTGACAAAACACTGATTATAATAAACAATTTGTTTCATGTTATAATGAACACAATGATCTAAAATGAGAATAACAGGAGCTACACAGAATAACGGAGCATGTCCCTGGCATGTCAGGACTTACACTATATGGATAAAAGTATTGGGACACATACACGTCACACTTTACATATTATGAAGTTGGTCCCCCTTTGCAGCTATAACAGCTTCCACTCTTCTAGGAAGCTTTCTACAAGATTGGAGTGAGTCTGTGGGAATTTCTGCCCATTCAACCAGAAGATCATTTGTAAGGTCAGACACCAATGCTGGACGAGAGGGCCTCGCTCACAATCTCCGTTCTAGTTCATCTCAAAGGTCTTTGATGGGGTTGAGGTCAGGGCTCTGTGAAGGCCAGTCAAGTTCTTACACTCCAAACTCACCCAGCCATGCCTTTATGGAGCTAGCTTTGTGCACTGGGGCTCAGTGTTAGAAGCATAGAAGCATTGTCCAAAATGTCTTGTTGTGCTGAAGCATTAAGATTTCCCCTCACTGGAACTAAGGGTCCTAGGCCACCCTGTAAAAACAACCCTATAGCATTATCCCTCCTCCACCAAACTTTACAGCTGGCACGGTGCAGTCAGGCATGTACTCATCAGACCAGATAGAGAAGCATGATTGGTCACTCCACAGAATGCGTTTCCACTGCTCCAGAGTCCAGTGGCGGCATGCTTTACACCACGACCCCCCCCCCAACCCCTGTTTGGCATTGTGCATTTTGATCTTAGGCTTGTGTGTAGCTGCTCAGCCATGGAAACCCATTTTGTGAAGCTCCTAATGTACAGTTCTTTTGCTAATGTTGTTTCCAGAGGCAATTTGGAACTCATTAGTGGGTCATTTAACAGAGTATTGGCAGTGCACGCTTCAGCACATTCACACAATGGCTGCCCACTCTGTGAGTTTGCGTAGTCTACCGCTTCATGGCTGAGCTGTTGTTGCTCCTAGGTGCTTCCATTTCACAATAATAGTTGTACAGGGGCAGACAGTTGACAGGCAGATCTAGCAGGACAGACATTTCACAAACTGACTTGTGGCAGAGGTGCTATCCTATGACAGTGCCATGTTTAAAGTCAGTGAGCTCATCAGTACAACCCATTTTGCCAGTGTTTGTCTATCGAGACTGCAAGGCTATGTGCTTAATTTTGTCCACCTGTTAGCAATGGGTATGGCTGAAACACCTTAACTCACTCATTTTGAGGGGTGTCCCAATACTTTTGTCCATATTGTGTAACTGTGTTTCTGCTGTTTGAGTTTAAAATTGACAACTGACAATGATTTGACAGTGATATCAATCACTAAAGCACTGTTCAACAAACACTTTTGAAATGTGTTACATTTTCAACCATATAAACTTTTATCAGAAGGTGTCAATTATAATTTCTAGCTATTCAGCTACTTTAAGCTGCCTTCACTTCTGGCACAGTTGAGCACAGAGAGCTTGAACAATCTCCTTAAAAGAGCGCTGTCAATGGAATGAGAGCAGTCACTCTTCCAAAATCAAGAGTATTAATAGTAGGTTGTCCCTCTTTGCTGCAGTAACAGCCACACTGCTGTGAAGATTTGACTGCATTCAGCCACAAGAACATTACTGAGGTCAGATAACATAGTTCCACTCCTCCACAGCTCAGTGCTGGGGGCTTTACACCCCTCTACTCAATACCTGTCACTGAGCATGGTGACCTTAGGCTGCTGTGCAGCTGCTTCAGAGTGTTTTATTCTATTGGTCAGTGCTTTTCAATGGAGATTATACAAGCCGTATGTGTGCGCAGTTGAACATGTTTGTCAATTGCCACTCATTAAGTAGCTAAATACACTAATGTGAAGGGGTGTCTGGATATCTTGACATGTAGTACATATTTAATTGAGCACGTTCTCTTACCAATGCAGGTGCGTCCGTCCACATGCAGGCGAAAGCCAGGGTTACACTGGCAGTGGTAGGAGCCTCTAGTGTTCACGCACTTATGTTGACAGCCTCCATTATGGACTTGACATTCGTCAATATCTGCAGGAAAAAGTCACATCCACACAAACATGCAAATTACTACTCATAATTCATATTTATTGACACATCAAAAATGTGTTTATTTATGGTCACTTTGCTCCTTTTATTAACTTTAATTTGACTGATTTTTTCTGTTATCTTCAGGTTCATTATGTCTTACAGCTTACTTCCAGCTATGAGAATCAGCCCAATGATCACTGTTTTTATACCTTTTTCTGTGTTCTTTCATTTTACGGCTGTTTCTGGGCGTACAGCTTGGGAGAGGAATGTTGGTGCTCTGCTGCCACAATGTCCTCACCACATTTCCAGAAATTGCTCTTAATGTTTGGCATAGTGGTAGCAAAAAGGATTATTTTGAGAGGATGGAAGCCAAATTCTCCTCACAGATTTCAAAATTGGCTTAAAAAGATGATGCTCTGTGTTCATCTTGAAAGAACAAGTTTTCCCAAAACGGGTGCTCATAACAAGTTCGTTAAGTTTTTATTTATTTATTTATTTATTTATTTATTTATTTATTTTTAGTGATCATTTTAACAGCAGTTGAATTTTTGGAGATAACCCTTTTTTTTCATTGGTTATTCTGTAACATTTATGTATTTGTAATTGATTTTTTGCACTTTTATCCAACCATCATAGCCATAGGTGAACATCATTTATGATGTCTGCCTTGTTTTGTTTTGTGTGAGTTCTTTGGGGTGGGAGTGGTGATGATTCTGGTGATGTTTATATTAATTATGTTTACGTATAATGTGTTTTACATGTTTAGACTTGTTTTGAAAAGGATGAACACCCCGGTCAAACGACATGTTTTGATTTTCTATATGTGAGATTGAAGGTTAATTTTCTTTTCTCCAAATTTTTCTTTTTAACCAAATTTAAGAAAAAAATTAAAACATAAAATATGTAATGTGCCATGACTTTTGAACAGGCCACATATCATGTTTATTGTTATTTTAATTCTGCAAATAAATAGGTGTTAAAATGTTTGTTCTCTGTAGCGATCAACTTTTTCAAATTCTCAAGTTTTCACTTAGAAAAATGTAATTTCACTACAGGCACATATATATATATATATATATATATATTACTGTTGCAAATCCAACAAATAAAATATTAAAAAAAAGAATTCTTGGAACACAAAATTGCAGCTTTAAGTGTTTAACAATATTACAAAAATGCAGTAAAATGTAAAATAACTGGGGATAAAAACAATTCACAAAAAAATAAAAGCAACAATATAAAAAGAGTCACTAATAAAATCCTACACAAATACATTAGTATCCTACCTAGTCCTAAATATACTAAAGAACTTCAAGTTCTGCTCAATGCCTCAATTAACCACTTGCTGCATTTTTTAGAGATAAAATCTGTGCAGTCTGACCACCAGGACTGTTGTAAAGTCTAACCAAATCAAACAGAAAACAGACGATCACATCTGCTGTGACGCGTTATGTGGCCACTTGAATAGCACTGACTGCATCTTCCAATCATGCAAGCGTTTGAAAGCTTCTAGCTTAATTCAAATCACTTCACTGCAAAACGAATGTGATCAAAGAAGATTAATGACATCATGAATTCATCTGGATGAGCATGCATTCCATCTAAGCAGGCACCATGATTAAAAACAAAATGAAGTGCCCTCTTGGTTTGCATGCTTTGTGTGTAGCTGGTAACACTGCAAACTGACTCTGACTCATTCCTTTGTTCATGCTTCATTGAGAAGGCTGAGGAGTTGCTAATAGTTTTATGTCCTTCAAAGAAAACTCCCACTGAGATCACAGCTAATCAGGCCATGGTCCATTTACAAAGACATCGTCACTCTGCTTGCACTGAACTGAGATCAGATTTAAAGAAGCTTGGCCTCATTTACGAAGCCAGCGTTCCTGCATAAGCAGTTAGACGAGTTTCCCATGACTTTCGCAGACCAACATGCTTGCATGGTGCTTACATACCAAAAACAGACTCTGGCAATAAGACTAACAGTAGTGAACAAACATGTTTTAGATCCATTCCCATGGTGTCCAGGATATTTTGGCCAACAATGTTTTTGTGTCTGATTTGAGAAGCAACTGGGAGACTCCAAAGTTCAAAGACACATTAAAAGACACTTATCAAAATATTGGTCATATAGATCAAATACAAAGTCACTTCTAAAGGAAGTGGTCTAGTGTCAGATTAAATCAGATGAGGCAAGGATACTTTTACAGTACATTCATAGGTGTCAACTTCTAGAGAAAGTAAACCTTATATTGACAGCCTCCAAACTGTATAAATACATCGATACCTGTATGGAACACTGTGATATATTCCTCTTATAATCATAATCATAGCTACTTCACACATAATCAGAAATTTATTTGAACTTTATTTGACACAGCTAAGCAATCCCTCTCATAAAGTTAAATACACATACAGAGAGAGAGAGAGTTAAGTGTTCTACCATGAGCAGACAGATTAAAATGTCTCTGATTATGCAGCCTCATCAGCAAGATGAGATTGAAGGGTGAATGAATGTATATTAATGCAAGTTACAATCTAGACCAGCCACTTTGTCCTTTCAACAAAAATCAATCCGCCTTGGGAGCCACAACATTTTACGTACATTTATTGAAGTAAAGTTTTACCATCTCGGTTGTAAATATGTCTCAGTATGTGCTAATGTCGTAGAGTAGACTACAAAATATAATATAAACAAAAACGCAGACTTACTTTGCTCTGCTTCAAGCTTTATCTCATATATATAGCTGCTTTTCTCGCATCTCTGGCAGGAAACCATTCCGCAAAAAGTAGAACAGTTTCTTCTTGTCTCAACATTCGACTTTTTACGAGGCCAAAATCAACTTCTCATTCGCCCCAGCTTCTTGTTCGAATTTTCCCCGTTTCACCTTAAATGGTGCCTGAGGTGCCAGAATGTAACTGCTTTACCATTTAAGGTGGAACAGGGAATTATAACGAGAAGCTGGTGAAGGAGAAGCTGACTTCAACTTCGTGACTTTTTAGTGTTTGACAGTTTCTCATTGCAGAACAAATGTATGAGAAAACCAGCTGGAGTGATTATAAATGCAAATAAGTCCATCCATCTCCAAACAGGCATCTTGCATCGATGTTCGTCTTCGATGTACATCTTTCTTTTTGCCGTTTTGTTAGCTACTAGCTAGGCAAGATTGTTGTCTGCATGGCTATGGTGACCAGCAGTCTACGCATCAACCTTCTTGGGTTAAATGTTGGTGAATTTGCAGTTATAGGCCACGTTAACTCGAGTGTTTAAGACCATTCACTGTTAAAACTGTGTTGAACGATCAGCAGAGCTTGATTTTACTGTAGAGGAGGATTATTTTCTTTTACCTAGAAATCTAATTCTGCTGTGGCGGCGCAACAGGGCAGTAAAAGAGCTGCATGTGACTCATGTGATGCCTTGTTGCCAGTCGCTGCTCTAGATGCAGCAACTTTTTTGTTCCTATGAGGGACACAGAAACTAAACTCAAATCCCTTGAATGCTGGCTAGAGACGCTGTGATATCTGTACATTAACATTGTGGAAATTCACAGAAATCAGCAAATAGGCTCCCAACACTCCCACCCCACCAATCACAGTCAGATCAAATTACTTTTTAGGCCACTAAGCCTAACAAAGCAGAAAGCGAAAATAAAATCTAAGCACACCAGAATTATTTATGCTAACTGGCCAAAGTTTATGGGGAAAATTGTATAAGACTAGATTTGCTATATGCCTTTATACTGTCTACGTCCAAAACTGTAAAAGAAAAGTATTTAGCAAGAGTAAATCATACGGGTTGACACCAGTTGTACATCATACACTGTTAGAAACCACATAAGTCTAATTGAGACTTGAGACACCACTGCTAGTCAGTGGGGTCTAAGTTCCATTACTTGCTACTCATTGCTCCAGTGCAAAACGTGAGAAGCAAACTTCAGATATGAAACGTCGTAGCTGATCAACTACATCTGATGAAAATTATGTAAATTTGATTTTTTGTAAAAACTACTGCTTTGAATAAGAGAAGTGGTTAGTGGAGATGTGAGTCTAGTTACAAAGCCACAGTGGAATGACACCACCTTAAATGTTAAGGAGAGGGAAAATGTGAAGACCGCTTGTATAGCACCACAAATATGCTAGCAAAATAACAGCACACATACCTGAGCCAGAATAAATTATGCCCTCCTAGAAAACAGCCCCATTCTGGCAGAGCTACTTCAAACATCTGTCTTTACCGTGAAATGTGTTCCTCAAAAAGACAGACAGCTTGTTAAGAGGAAAAAAGAAAGAGCTGAAAAGGGACAATATTTGACTTCTTCACTGCAAAGGAGTGTCACAAATTAAGAGACAAACAGACTATGTGGAGTTGGCCTCGATGGTTAAGCTAAGCTAACGGCAACTTAAAACAGAGCACTGTATGGAGACAATGACAGCAAATCTGTTTATTTGAGGTTCACCTCTGCCATCCATTCCTCATGACACAACAAAGACAAGCAGCTGACAGAAGAAAAAAACAAAGAAAAAACAAATTTACCATGACATACAATGTGCTGGAATCAATTCTCATAAAAGTAGCATCTTTTATTGTTTTGAAGTTACTGAAGTCACTTCAATGTCATGTTCCCACCAGATGTGTTCTGATGGTGGCTGAACTGTGCCTAACATGATTGGGCCCTCCTTTCTTTGAAGACAGCCAAAGAGCAGATCCAGAATCTCAGAGATCACAGCTCTCCTAGCCACACTAAGCAGTTTTACATGTGACTTTATACAAAATATGTTTTAACACTTTGAAATGTTCAATGATGTAAGCGATGGAAACTAATAACAATTACTGATAATAGATATTAAAAAACTTTTGCTTTGAGATAAGAATTGATCAATATAATCAAATCTCTGTATTCTGTCCATTATTCTCACCCTTAGTAGTAGGCTATGGAAAAATTATTAACAGATATGTGTCAAACACATATTTGTTATTCATTGAAGCAACATTAATGTGACAG